TGAAGTTGCTGTGGAGCGCCTGCAGGAGATATTTGGGAGATTCAGAGAAGCTGGACTCAGGTTGAAGCCCTCTAAGTGCTCCTTGTTCCGGAGACAAGTGGAGTTCCTCGGATATATTGTCTCAAGAGATGGAGTTACTCCCAATCCTGCCAAGGTAGAGCAAATCCTGCAGTACCCCATGCCTAATACATTGAAGCAGGTACGTCAGTTCCTAGGAGGGGTATCCTACTATCGCCGTCACATCAAAGATTTTGCCCACATAGCTGGACCACTTCATGACTTGACAAAGAAGAATGCAGTCTTCATTTGGACTCATGATTGCCAGAAGGCGATGGATGAACTCAAGCAGCGTTTGGTAACTGCACCTATCATGGGTTATCCACAAAACGGCTGTACATACATCCTAGACACCGATGCGAGCCTAGAAGCTATTGGAGCTGTCCTGTCTCAAGAGCAAGATGGGGAGGAAAAAGTGCTCTATTATGCGAGTAAGAGGTTAAACAGACAGGAGAGGAATTACTGTGTTACGCGGAGAGAGCTGTTAGCGGTAGTGAATTACACCAAGTATTTTAAACAATACCTCTATGGTGTGCGTTTCCGCTTGAGGACTGACCACAGTTCACTTAGATGGCTTGTGAACTTTAAGGAGCCCGAGGGTCAGCTGGCTCGGTGGATCCAGAGTCTTCAAGAGTTCCAGTATGAGGTGGAATACCGCCCTGGTGAGAAGCATCAGAACGCAGACTTGATGTCCAGAGTTCCCTGTAAGCAGTGCAGTCACTGTAATGGACAGTGTGTTACCACAGAGGCAGATGATACTCTGGATGATGTTGTTTTGGCAGTTTCCTTGAAACCTGAATGGACCTTGGAGCGAATAGCTGAGGCACAGAGACAAGATGTAAATCTAGCTCCTTTACTGAAATTGTTTGAGTCTGGGAAAGCTCAGATTCCTTGGGAGCAGATCAGTTCCAAATCGACTGTGACAAAGAGTCTCTGGAATCAATGGGACCGCTTGAGAATGGAGAAAGGAGTGTTATGCCGTCTTTGGGAGAGTGAAGATGGAAGCAAGCAGCAGTATCAAGTAGTGACACCTGCAGTTCTCCAACCAAGGATCTTGGAGCTGAGTCACTCGGCCAAGACAGCAGGACACTATGGAGTCAAGAGGACATTGGCTAGATGCAGAGAGAGATTTTACTGGGTAGAGTTGTCTTCTGATGTCCGATCTTATTGCAGGGCATGCCAGATTTGCAGTTCTAGGAGGAATCCTCGTCCTACTAGAAAAGCTCCTTTGCAGCAAGTGAGAGTCGGGGCTCCCATGGAGAGATGGGGTATTGATGTACTAGGGCCCTTCCCTATGACACCAAGAGGCAATACTGTGTTGCTGGTATGTGTTGACCACTTTACCAAGTGGCCAGAGGTATTTCCATTGCCAGATCAGAAGGCTCCCACAGTTGCTTCCAAACTGGTGGATGAAGTTTGCTGTAGATGGGGCATACCTAAGCAGCTGCATTCAGATCAAGGCAGGAATTTTGAGTCCGCTGTATTTGGAGAAGTCTGCAAGCTGATGGGTGTTGAAAAGACCCGCACAACTCCTTTTCACCCTGAGTCGAATGGACTCGTGGAGAGATATAATGGCACCCTGGTGGACAACATTGTTAAACTTCTCGCACCAGCTTATGAGCAAGAGGATTGGGATTTGCAAGTTCCAATAGCTCTTATGGCATACAGAACCTCTGTGCATGAGGTAACAGGAGAAACTCCAAGCATGATGATGGTTGGAAGAGAGATGTGTGCTCCTATGGAGCAGATGATTGAGACCCCTGTACTCCCTCCCTTAGAGACTGACTATGCTTTATCCTTGAGACAGAGGATGGAGGTTGTACATGAGCGGGCAAGAACACAACTGGACTTAGCTTCAGAAAGGCAGAAGAGCAGGTATAACAGATCTGCCGATCAGAGAGAATACCAGCTCGGGGATCCTGTGTGGTTGCGGAATAAGCAGAGAAGAGTTGGCAAGTCCCCAAAGTTACAACCACGATGGATAGGACCATACCAGATAGTGGGTCGACTCTCTCCCGTGATTTACAGAATCAAGGAGAAGAAGACGGGGAAGCCAAAGGTGGTTCACCAGAATCTTCTGAAACCATTTGAGTGCAAGCTACCTGCTACTTGGTCCCGATGGATATTGGCTGATGAAGAACCAGAATGTGCTTCATTACCAGAGCAACCCTTGACTGATTTGAAAAGAATAGAAGATGAAACGCTGAGCCTGAGAAAGAGAAAGATGGACTCTGAGAGTTTGAGCTCTCCTTCCCCAAAGAAGGTAAAACCCAAAGTGAGAAGGAAAAAAGCCAACGAGGGGAAAGTTGTTGAGTCTAAATCAAGCTTCAGAGAAGAGTTACCCAGAAATAGTGAGGATAGCTCTATGGACGACCACGAGAGGAGTGAACTTCAACAGTCATCCAGAGAGAAGAAACCTCCTCGTCCCACACGGAGAAGACATGTTCCTACATACTTGAAGGATTACAGTTGTGTTGTGTCTGCACCAGCAGACATTCAAGATTAATGCTGTGTGATCATAAAGAGACATGTTCGACTATGATCGTTGATTGTTTTAGAGATAATGTGTTATATTAGTGTATATAGTCGTGAGTTCTATTGTTCATGTTTTGAAGTCTCAATTTTGAGATTTATAGCTCTATTGTTAGTTAGAAACATGTATGTTATATCTTCCTTGTTGGATCGAGGGCGATCCATCCTGGGAGGAGGGAGTGTGACAAAATTGTGAGTTTCATTTTTGTTTTAATTTTGTACTTTTATATTTGGAGTCAGTCGACTCTTTCAGAGAGTTTGATGGCTCAAATGTGTACATGCAGAATGTCACGTAGGCACTGGGATGTTTACTGATCAGCAGACTGTAGTGGAATAAATTAGAATAATAAGTACCCAGCAACCGGTGATCAGCCAATCAGATTCTTTTATTTGAATTTCCCTCCAACTTAAGTTGTAGTTTTCCCATGATGCAACTTGAGGTGTCTGGATTTTATTGTTTGCAATTAACCACGTGAATCAGAGTAAACTAAGATCTTGAAGATACAAGACCTCGTCAGTTTGGATTTATTTATGTGCAAGCGTGTTTTATTTAATCTGTGGACTTATTGGAGCATTATTTTGGATATATTGGATTAGTTGCAGTAATCGTTAGATGCAGATTGTATTTGGTGCGACTATTGAAGAAAATACAAGACAACAGCCAGTGTTTTGGTGAGTTAGCCATTTTCTTGATTGAGGTTGGCATAAAATGGGTAATTAGCTGTCCGCCATCTTGCTTTCTTGTTCCCACAATTCCCGGCGGTCGGCCATCTTTGATTTTGAAGGAAGTGACGTCATTTTGAGAAGTTTTGAGCTCCAGATTCTCTGAGTAGATTTGGCTCTGTCTAATCTCATTTCTTTGATCGATATTCGTGAGTCATTCTGCTCTGAGTATTGGTGGCTCCTGGTCATTACCCCTCCAAGCTATAAATGCTCCTACTTTGACGAGGCGATCTGACTCTCACCCAGGGTTGTATGTTGAGGAAGGTTTACTCTCATCGGAGCCAAGGTTACATTACCGGAACTGAGGTGCTCCAAGGGCGACAGGTAACAGCTCTGTCTAATCTCATCCTTTGATCGACATTCTAGAGTTGTTATTCTCTACAGAGGTTGTAGTGAGGTTGCTCCTGCGAAGCGGTGACTCCGAGAGCAGAGGTTACTCTTTGGAGACAGTGTAGCTCATTGAGTGAGAGCACTTTTTGAGTAGAAGTTACTCTTTGGAGACAGTATAGCTCATTGAGTGAGAGCACTCTTTGAGTAGAGGTTACTCCTGAGACGAGGCGATTCCCGGGGCTGAGGTACTAGCAGTGTGTGGATCTCGTTCAAGAGTAGAGGTTACTCCTGAGACGAGGCGATTCCCGGGGCTGAGGTACTCCCAGTGTGTGGATTTCGTTGGAGAGCAGAGGTTTCTCCTGAGAAGTGACGACTCCAAGAGCAGAGGATACTCCCGGAACCTGGACCCCTTCCAAGAGACAGTGTAGCTCAAGAGTGAATTGAGCAGAGGTTGTAGAGAGGTATATCCTGAGAAGTGGTGACTCCAAGAGCAGAGGTTACTCTCGGAGCCTGGACTCCTTCCAAGAGACAGTGTAGCTCATAGAGTGAAAGCACTCTTTTGAGGAGAGTTTAAAGGTGGTTACTCCCGTGACAAGGCGACTCCCGAAGCAGAGGTTACTTCCGGAGCCAGGGCTCCTTCCCAAAGACGAGATAGCTCAAGAGGGAGAGCTCTTTTCAAGCAGCGCAGAGCGGAGTAGACAAGCAGAGTATTGCAGAGAGCAGAGCATAGCAGAGAGCAGAGCCGAGTATATCAGAGTACAGCAGAGCAGAGACAAGCAGAGTAGAGAGCAGAGTATTGCAGATTAGAGTAGAGACAGATAACTCAGAGCCAGAGTGTTTTGGACCCTTGTATATATATAGAGACATTTGCATTTGAGTTATTGGCCATAAAGGCTTTATTAAAGGACACTTTGAAATTTATTGTGATTATTGTGTTGAATAGATTGTTAAAAATCCTGTAATTGATTGTTTTGTATATTCCTGTGTTCTCCATCTCCTAGCTCAGTGACAGCCGAAGCACCAAACAAGCTCGGCGCCCGTGAGAAACACCTCCGAATCCCTTATCATCGCCACCAGACCTTCTCCGAGGGAGTACAGGTACTCGGCGGGAGTCTGGCGCGCGACAGTATTATCATTTCCCATTGTTTTGTTCACTAAGTGAATTGAGATTCCTTGTTCAATTATCAAGCAGATTTTGAACCATATGGAACATTATGAATCAAAATGAGAAATGTCATGTCATGAACTATGATTGGTTGATTTTTTCTATTTCTTAGCTGTGTGTAGAATGATATGGTAACGCGCACCCAATTGAAATGATGTCGTGTTATGAACTATATTTATTGTATGTTGACAGTTATAAACCAAGTAGACGCTTCAAGGGTTCAAACCTCGATCATACATATTAGGACCAACATATGGATGTTGAAAATAGGTAACAGTAAATTATATATCAGAAATTTCTGTTTTAAATATAGTAAATGCGTCTGTGATGATCATATCCAGCAATCGTAATGTTAAATCGGACATCACCTTATCTCCTAACTGGTACTATTACTGAGATTTCGTATCAACACTTTAGTCTACTAAATTATTGTTTAAAACTCATATATGTGAGCGTTAATGCAGGGGCATTTCATACAGCCTATAAACACCGCCCTTTCATTAAATGTGTTTTCTGGTTTCCTTAATTTCGCCAATTTCTTAAGAAATTGATGGATAATTTGAAGATTATATGATCAGACACATAAATATGGCATATACCACATAAGTTTCTCATATTTAGTTGTTGTTTTTTAGTTGCTGTTTTTTGTGGAACCATATATTACGTACATGGATAACGTATTTTATTTACAAGTAGGCTGCATCTTGTATTAGACCAACATAGCATCAAGTTTCACTAGAGCTGCTAAGAACACTTCTTATCAGATGTGTTGACAGCTCTCCTGATAAAGAAAGTGACCGGAGATTTCTGGATTTGTAAAACTAATATTATGGCAACAGTTTAATGTCTTAAATATGAATACGCTGAATATACTTAAATGATAAAGACGATGACAGCGCGATTGTGATTATAAATGCACCATCTCTTGCATTTTAGATATTGTACGAAATGCCTTCTTTGACGATCGTTGCATCGATATGCATAGGTAAGTCTGAAAATTCAATTGAAATGCGAATCAAGGTATAAGACAAGTTTGAGATTTTCTGGTGTAGTTAGAAAATCAAGATTTTCATGTTAATCTCACGTCTGTTATTTATTTTTTGTTGTGATCTTGAAATATATAAAACGTAACAAACTTAAGAATCCAAACCCTGTTTACAAGAATATCAATAATTATTCTGATAACAATATTGTTTTTAATTATAAACTGGATGGCCAGCTTTTAAGAAACCAGTAATATTGTAAAATGGATCAACCAAACTTAGTAAAATTTCAAACATACATTCTATATTATATGGTAGCAAGGAATAAAGATAGTGAGTGAGTTGTATCCATTTTACATGCTTGATATGCCAAATATTACGCCCTTTAATCTCATGTTCGGAATAATAATATGCATAATTGTGGCCAATCCTAAAGGGGACCAGGTTTGGAGAAAGTGTAATGTGCGATCCAGGTGATCTGTTCGAACATATTTTTATGAGAATGGCACCTTATTTTACACCAAGATTCGCGTCTCCGGAGAGGTCCTCCTCTTTTACACACATATTTGAGGAAAACACCATCATAAAACTTCATTTCCAAGTTTTGATGAAAATTGCTTTTATTTCTATAACATCTATGGGAGGCCGTTGCTTTGACCATCCCACGCCTGGCTACTCAGACCGATACCTACAACGGCCTCGTATTCGTTAAGAACGACGACCCTTTTTACATTCGTGTCTCCGGAGATGCCCTCCTCTTCTACACACATGGAAGCAACATCATCATAAAACTTCAAAGTTTTGATAAAAAGTGATTTAATTAATTTCTATAAAATTCCGGAGATCCCATTACTACGCCTGTTCCACGTTTGGCTACTCAGACCGATACCTGTGGCGGCCACATATAATTTGTGATGGCCTTAATGTTGCCAAATGGTGACATATTGTTATAGTCTCCAACTTTTTTGTGAACGCTGTTTCCAGCGGTCGGAGTTCAACAGTCGGCGTCTGTAACAAATGGCGGATGGTGTCATTTTGCATCAATCCCTTATTGATTCTTGGGGTTATAGGCCTATTTTAAGCCTATGATCAACGTGACCAGAAATATAGATATACGTACACCAAGTTTTATTTATGAAGTATATGTTTTTGTTTACATTTATTACATTTGTACACACAAGATCCTTGTATTTGACATAAACCAATCAAAACTGGGTTTTCTGTGTAATGCGGTTGGAACGCGGATGTTAAATTCTTAAATGGTCCAATAGTTTTTTTGAAAAAAAATTGTAGCTCGTTAATTTTGTCACTGAAAGGTAACTTCATTTTGAGATGAATGCTCAATGGTTTTTGTGTGATATAAATTGTTAGTGTTTTATCATTAAATTAATGGCACCTTAGTCTCAGATGGCACGTATGTGTCAAATATCATTTACTGACTTTTATCCTCGCTTCTAGTGTATAGTGCTAATCATACGATATTAGATTTAGACTTCAAGAATAAGGTTATGTTATAATGGGAGGCAGCATTTCTTAAATGGGTATCTGACTGGAATGTAATTTTGTTGCCAACACAATGGGAAATCATATGACTAATGATGTTCAAATGTATGTACTGGAAAGACTCTTTACCCTTTTTCTTAAAAATAGCGCCATGATGAATTTTTTAGACAAAAATCAAAGTTTGCTATGATATCCATATGTTTTGCATCCTCCAATACATGCTTAACACACGTAATATACTATCACATCTAATAGATATAATTCAGAATTTTTGTTACTCCCTAGATCTGCTTGTTGTCTGAAGCAAACATAACAATTCGTGTTGCGTGTAAATATTATTATTTTCCATTTATTTAACTTCACAAGTTTGGTATTAATAGAACTGTTGGGGGGTGGTGAGGAATGGGCGGCAATTTTTAATGGCCTTAAGTACATCAATATATTAAGTGTCCATAAGGATATAAATATATTAAATGTCCATACGTGTATAAATATATTAATTATTCATAAATGATATGCAATATTATTATGATACAATTGCATGTACAGTGATTTACTTAAATTATATTATCAGAACGTTCTATTGTGAGCTACTAGTAAGTGCTATTGCAAGCAGCCTGTAAGTTGAACCAAGGGAAAGATCAATACCCGGTGATTTCAGCGGGAAGTGGCGTTTCGTTCATTGGATGAGCTGCGCGCGCACGCATAAATGTGATTATCCAATCAAGGAGGATTGGCCAAGGGCGTTACAATACCCGGGAATTTATCGGTTCGTCCAGTACTTGTTTGTGATAGCGCCCTCTGTAGGTCACTGTGCTTATAGCCTACAGTAATACGGGGTAGGATATCGGGAATTCGGACAGTTTCTATCCGTCGATTTCGCTATGAATTGAAGCAAGTGTGACCACTTTATCCACTTAAACAATTTGATAATTGATTAAATCTTTAAACAAAATCGATAAACACGTTATACACTTCCTATCTCCTTAGAAATTAGCATGTATTTATGGATTGTGTTTTCGAACAAGGCTCGACCCACCCCAATAGGGAAATCCTTATGCTAATTAGTATGACGTCATATTTTCCTGGGGAATCCTAGATTTCAAGGCCTCAGTCTGTTATTGTGTCAAATGTAAACGCTCTTGGGACGCTCTTTTGCAGACAGAAAATTGACAGATTAGCTTTTAACTTTCAGCTTTGATGTTTAAATATTCTGTATTTCTACCGGACTTCTTGCTGAATATCATATAATGTTATAACTTGATTTGGATCATTGCCTGATTGATCATTCTGAAATTTTGATTGTGATTCATGATTGATTGGCAAGAAAAATAATTCCTATTGTTTTCCAGCGAAGTCAAAATGTTACAGCATGAGTTATAATGTCGAGTTTGCATCATGTTAAATTCTGCTAGTGATTAGAAGTCCATGCACAAGCATACACATAAGAGACAAACACACCCAGGCTCCAGGCCGTGGATGGAAATATAAAACTATTTAAGGCACAAACTGGTATTAATAGACCGATATGTAGTGTCTGCCATGTATTGAAGGTAAACCAATCTGTATTATTAATGTTTCTTCTATCAATACATGGGTTGTGCAATAGAAAAGCAATGGCACAATCAAAAATGTGCATATCAATCGTGAATATCTCTCGGTTCAAAGCTTATTTCCAACAGAATCGTGTCAAAATATGTGTCTGAGTAACAGTTATACATTATAAGATCGCAAACTCTTACCAATTATCAGCCGAATGGCTCATTTTCAACGAAATGTCCTTAAGACAACAGCCCTGGGTCGCGCCTGAGACCAAAAACTACTTCAAATAGCCCTCCCCTAATTATATTGGATAATCACATTTATGCGTGCGCGCGCAGCTCATCCAATGAACGAAACGCCACTTCCTGCTGAAATCACCGGGTATTGATCTTTCCCTTGGATTGGCTCCCAGAGTGCACCACCGATATTCTGTCCCATATATGGGTATGTCGTAATACAAAATTCGAATTCAAACAGCCGCCATTTTGTTCACTTCAACATTTAAATCGTGAATTTTGGTCTTATTTCCAAACGAAAAATTCCAAAACTCACAAGAAATGATCGAGATATTGGTTCGAATCTTTTGAACTGTTTATTTTGAATTTATAGTCGGTTTTAATTTCAGAAAATAACGACATTTCGACGTTTTCATTGTTGGAAAATATCGAGTTTCGATCCTGGGAGCCAATCCTCCTTGTATCCAATATAATTAGGGGAGGGCTATTTGAAATAGTTTTTGGTCTTAGGCGCGACCCAGGGCTGATGTCTTAAGGACATTTCGTTGAAAATGAGCCATTCGGCTGATAATTGGTGAGAGTTTGCGATCTTATAATGTATAACTGTTACTCAGACACATATTTTGACACGATTCTGTTGGAAATAAGCTTTGAACCGAGAGATATTCACGATTGATATGCACATTTTTGATTGTGCCATTGCTTTTCCATTGCACAATCCATGTATTGATAGAAGAAACATTAATAATGCAGATTGGTTTACCTTCAATACATGGCAGACACTACATATCGGTCTATTAATACCAGTTTGTGCCTTAAATAGTTTTATATTTCCATCCACGGCCTGGAGCCTGGGTGTGTTTGTCTCTTATGTGTATGCTTGTGCATGGACTTCTAATCACTAGCAGAATTTAACATGATGCAAACTCGACATTATAACTCATGCTGTAACATTTTGACTTCGCTGGAAAACAATAGGAATTATTTTTCTTGCCAATCAATCATGAATCACAATCAAAATTTCAGAATGAGCAATCAGGCAATGATCCAAATCAAGTTATAACATTATATGATATTCAGCAAGAAGTCCGGTAGAAATACAGAATATTTAAACATCAAAGCTGAAAGTCAAAAGCTAATCTGTCAATTTTCTGTCTGCAAAAGAGCGTTTACATTTGACACAATAACAGACTGAGGCTTTGAAATCTAGGATTCCCCAGGAAAATATGACGTCATACTAATTAGCATAAGGATTTCCCTATTGGTTTGGGTCGAGCCTTGTTCGAAAACACAATCCATAAATACATGCTAATATCTAAGGAGATAGGAAGTGTATAACGTGTTTATCGATTTTGTTTAAATATTTAATCAATTATCAAATTGTTTAAGTGGATAAAGTGGTCACACTTGCTTCAATTCATAGCGAAATCGACGGATGGAAACTGACCGAATTCCCGATATCCTACCCCGTATTACTGTAGGCTATAAGCACAATGACCTACAGAGGACGCTATCACAAACAAGTACTGCACGAACCGATAAATTCCCGGGTATTGTAACGCCCTTGGTTGAACTAAGATATAAACTTGCTTCACTGGGGTTAACCCTCAACTGATGTGTCAGTCAAACATTAACATAATGCACAGATACAATCGTTCGACTCACAAAGCACCTTATTTGACTTGTTCCGTTATCTGTCATTTAAAAGGTATCCTTTTAGTTAAGAGTACTTCTTGGCTCAGTTTTCACCAATGATGCACAAACAAGGTTAATTTAACCCGTGTGTTGGAGGATACAAATATTAGACAAATCGTACCCACAGTAAGAATACTTCATTTTATGGGTAACACATATAATATCTAACATCGCCCTTTTGGAGCTAGTCGCATACATATTTTTATATAGTTTGAAACATATCAACGTGACATGTTAAGATTCTACAGCTTCAATTGATGATATAAAGCTTGAAGTTATAAATCATTTTATGAATTCATAGCAGCTCCACTTGCATTCACTTTCAATTTATCAATTTTAACAGGTAGATTTCCGGATGTATTTCAAATGGCTCGAGTAACTGCAATATCTAAAAATAGACAAATTCACACACTATCGACTAACTTCTATTTAAAGGCCCCGCGTGAAGTTTGAAAATATGCTTTTATAATTATTTTACTATTTTTCATTACTTAACTTATCTGTAAGTTATTATTGACATTTTACAAGAAATATTTTTTAAAAATATCAACTTTTCATTTCTCAAATATTCAAATTTACCGCCATTTTTCTTTTTAACACCAATGCAAGGATTGAACAAAGCAAACATTATTTCAATAATAAAATGGCAAAATCTTTAATGTTTTAGCATATAGGAAATATTTTGCACCCTAAGTGATCACTCAGGTGGCAAAAAGCAAAAAAAACTTTTTGAAAAAATTAGGTTTTTCATTGTCACTCTTTTCTAAATATGCTTAATTTCAAATGTAAATCAATATCGATCGTCTACCCAGATTAAAATGACGATTATATTATGTTTTAAATATTATTGTACCACTGGTTTCTCTGAGAACAAAAGTTTTGAAATGCATTTTTCTCTGAACCATTTTCCTGTATGGATGGATTCATTTCTCGCCTATTAATCAATCAATTTTCTTAATTTTTCGGCAAAAATATGTTAGGATGGATGCTATGCATTGGTGTGAATTACCGCTTATTAAACGATATGTGTGACTTCCAAAGGTTAGTTTAAAAAGATTCACGTCAGAATAGCTAGACGTAGCTATGACTTGATGATGAAAAGGATTTAGACACTGAGACTTGTCGGATCTCAATTGTAATTAGAAGTGAATCCTTATGTGATTGTATCGGATCTCAATTGTAGTTAGAGGTAAATCCTTATGTGATTGTATCGGATCTCAATTGTAATTAGAAGTGAATCCTTATGTGATTGTCCGGCAACAGACTAAAGAGCAAAGCACATTAAACAGTTTGAAAAAAATGATAAAACACGATTCAGTTATAATCAATTTATGGAATTTAACGATATACTCTATAAGTGGCTAATTTGCCGAGACATTTAATTTTCCGATTTCCGATTTATGCTTAGTGTCGGATAATTAAATGTCGGAAAAATAACATCTTAAAATCAATTTACATTGTGAATTGAAGCCGTCACGATAAGAGTCAAATCATTCTATGAGACTGGCATGATAGTTTCCACTTAATTACGACTTACGAGTATACAGTAAATTAATCTGCATTTATCGTATTAGTTAAATATTCCCACTGAAAATGTATACTTTGTTTTTCAGCTTGCGTAGGGCTATTCACAGATGCAACGTCATTTACGGACTTTACACATGCAGGTTATGTGTGGCGCAGGGCAACGAAGTCATGCATTTTGGGATACAACGATAAGAAATATGCCGACTATGATTTGGATGACTGCTTGAATATGTGTATTCAGGAAGGTGTTCCAAGCTGTAGATCTATAGAATATGCCAATTCAACCAGAGATTGTACCAGAAGCAGGGAATCGTCATCTAGTCAGTCTGTTAAACAATGTGCTCTTGTGGACTTTTTTGAAAGGACGAGTGTCAGTAAGACTCCAATTTAATTAGAGCATGCAAAAAGTGGACACTGATTTCTCAGTGCCGTAATGATAACTAAATTCAATAATCCTTTTAATGACAATTTCACAGGTTTCTTTCTCATTTCTTAACATTTTCAAGAATTATTTAAACTCAGCAACTACTCGATGGATTGCTTCAATTACTTTATTTACCCCAGTCATTTTACACGTTGAATATGTATGTAAAATATGGGAATGATTCAACATATTTAAGTACGAATTATTTTTTCTATTCACTACCTAGCTCTACCTACTTCACTACTGACCTCCCTTTGTACTATGGGCTTATAAGACATTAGGGCTCTGCCCGATCTTTGATACAAGCCCCTGTGACATAAACATGTTCGTTTATTTAATGTCCCTTGGTGTTCTGGTCCTGGATTGTGATATTGAGACTGGATTGGAAGAGAGAAGGGGGTAGGGGGTGTTACAACATGGTTTTGGGATACATAGGGTCTATTTTTCTTATGACAGGTTTACACTCAGGTTCTTGCTAGTTTTTTTACATTTTTAGTCCTCTCTCTTTGGCACTTGTGCTTAGATATTTAATGACTAAAAATCTTAAATCACCATTATTCATGAACAAAACGCACCCGAAATCTTTAAGAATATTCTTACGTTATTGCGATAGACTTACTTGTACCGTAGACTAAAACGGTACCATACGGTACCATGCTCTTAATGTACCGTACGGTACCGTGATTTGAGAGTGTGGATAAGGGGTGTAGCTTTGAAAAAGCAATGAAACACATATCAGAATGCATGTACTTCTAATTGTTGTTAACTTCTGTTTGCACTTCAGCTGTATCCACAGAAACACCATCCAGTGTATCATCACCTTTGATATCAACGAGATCACCTGTAACACCTGTGACAACTCCTGTATCAAGTGCACCAAATCACCTATGGTGTTGCAACTTCGAGAGCTCCAGTTGGGATGATTCTAATGATGGGTCTGGATGCGGGAGAGGATACCGTGGCATGAACCAGCTGATAACGGATGACTTCGATTTCATAAGGCTCAGTGGAAACACTCCTTCGGGCCATACTGGACCGGAGATGTCGGATGGAGGTAACATTTGAATGACATGAAAAAATGGAAACTAGATATAAACAATATTATCATTTATGTTTTATCCCAACGAACGAAGTTTGGTAGGGATATAGGGAAGCCTTCCGATCGTCATGCGTCCGAAAGCTAACTCGAATACTAGTGGACGGATTATCTTCATATTTGGTGGAAAGATGTATATTGGTGAATACTGAATAGATGTACGCAACAAAAAAATCCAAGGTGGCCGCGAAAATCTTGATACACGTCGCATGAAACTGGGGACAATTAGCGTAACATTATGGCGTCAAATACTTTATCCTTATCTAATCATGACAAAATTTACAGGGTAGCAAGATCACTGGGGGGTATCGTGATGCAACAACACCGTGTTGTTGCATCAAGATGGCCAGACTTCCGGTGATAGATTTTCGTACGATGTTTTCTTTTCCCAATTTACACCCATTTCTAGGACGAGTTGCTCAATAATCATACACATGCAGTTAGGTTATGATCTGTATTTTAAAAAAACTGTCATTGGTATACATGTAGCATCATCAAGAAGCGATAAATTCGTGGTTTTAATTCCTCACTATTGATGCAACAACACCACTCTGTTTCTTATCGATGATGCAACAACACCAATGTGCTGATGCAAAAACGCCAATATAATGTATCATTGAACAACAAGAGAAACTGTTTTATGTTCTGTTTACAGGTGTAGGTCGGGACATGAATAAAACGCGTGAGTCAGTGGTCCATGAACGAAGCGTATTTTGTTTGGTTTCTTTGTCTATATCAAAGTTAAAAGGATATACAAGGCAAACTAAATAAAGTACTGAATCCCCGGGAGGCAATCTCATTGATATTGTATCTGAAAAATAAAGATTATACATTTTCTAAATTAAATGCCCTTGATTTACCGTATGGAAATTGTTTACAAATAACTAATATAATTTTAGAAAGACAACAGATATCAGTCATTTTGTGTTGTTAGTACCTCAATTGAAATACTCAATTCTGATTGGTTGATGAGCGGTCAACAAAATGTATTGTTAGTACCTCAACTGAAATACTCGATAGCAAAAATACAAATAGAAACTTAAAATTAACATTAATTCACTAACGAGTACGCCGTGATGTGCCAAATACAGAGTTAAGCTACTTGCACTGTCTCCAGATTTTCTAAAAAAAATATTGCTAACGTGGTTCGGAGAAAAGGTTGTGAAATGAAGCCATGCCGATTGATGATTGTCGTCTATATGTGTATTATTAGTTTACTCGGACTAACAAAACAATTGTAGACCTCTCCATTCGATCAACCGTCAAAATCATATACCTCGACTGTAAACCTTGAAACTACTGTTGACCTCGACTTTCAGTCTCTGTCAACAGTAGTTTTTCGGTTTACAGTCTCGGTATACAATTTTGCCGGTTGACCTCTGGGGAGGTCAACAATTGTAAACTGTTGACCACTACTAGGTACTGTTGACCCCTATTTTTGAAAAATTGTTTTTTAATGTTGAAATATTTTTGATTTTGAAAAAATAAGTTGTGCAAAAATTACAAGTATTCGACGGTTTTTGGGATATTTTGCTAGAATATGATACCTTTGTTACGCGGTATATGGCATACATTCATGGTTGTGCGGTATTTGTGATACGGGTGAATATGCCATACTCACCTGCGGTATATGGCATATTCCGCAAGTGAGTATGCAATATTCCGCAGTGAATATGCGATACATTGATTTCAGTGAATACCCGATACTCATCTGCAGAATATGTCATACTCACTTGCGGAATATGCCATATACCGCAGGTGAATATGCCATATACCGCAGGTGAAAACGTGATACAGAAAGCCTTGATTTGATTGGTAGCGAGAATCGACTCTAAATGTAAAACTACGCTGGATTACCAATATAGTTAATGCGTCGAGTACTAATATATGAATCCTGGATTGATTGAGTAAGTTTATTACGCGAGAAGGTGACTGATACTTCTGCTAAGTTAATATATTCGATACACAGTAGTGTTTATTCAGTAATCATTATAATAATTTATATCGTTTTACTTGTTCGTTCAATCGATGCAATTGACAATTGCGTACTTCCGTATCACGTTCTCATTGGTTAGTGTGTATTGCATACACCGCAAGTGAATATGCCATATTCGTTGCGGAATATGACATATTTTTGTATCGTGTTTACCGCGTAACAACCTTTACTTATATAATATGTTCACGTGATATTCGATTATATATTCGTCCAATTATTATATTATTTGGACTAACAGAACAATTGTTAACCTCTATTTTCGGTCAACTGGCAAAAGTGTCCTCGACCTCTGGTCTTGATCAACAGTACTTTCAAGGTTTACAGTATCGGTATACAATTTTGCCAGTTGACCTTAAGAGAGGTCTACAATTGTATATTATTTCTTTCAAATTATTATATTCTTCGGACTAACAAACAATTGTTAACCTCTGTATTCGGTCAACTGGCCAAAGTGTTTACCTCAACAGTAAACCCTGAGAGTACTGTTGACCTCGACCTCCGAACTTTCAAGGATTACAGTATCGGTATACACTTTTGCCAGTTGACCTCAAGAGAGGTCTACAATTGTATATTGTATATCCTTTGTTATCCCACCCAAAGTATGATGTCATATATCAAGTTGAAGAGTTTTATACGCTGCTCAGGAGTTTGCGCTATCCAGGAGTTGTACATCGTTCTCAAGAGATGTATAGGATGAGTATTGGTTTAATGATATTGCAGTTATACAATGCTATTATATAAAGGTTATTTACTGAGAGGGATTCAATATTGGTTTTATTCCGAGAGACAATATGATATTTCCCGAGGGCCCGGGATATCTGGGATAACTGTACCCCTATCAATTTACCTTTTTGGGCCCTTAATCTTATCACTTTTGTTTACCTTTTTACTCAGTCGGAGAGAAGGAATCCAAAGAGAGCAATAATTCTACATGTGCGTCGTTCAAGATTTCCATTAAACGTGTAACTAAACGGCTTCTCTAATAAAGTCAATTAGACGTTTTTACACGTTGGCTCTCCAAATTGGAGGAAATAAAGAATCATATCATATTATATCATAGATGAAACAATCATCCCATCAACATAAGCTCACGAATGTCACAGTTAAACTGTTTTAGTTATAATTTGATAAACAGTGGTAACGTAAATCTACTAGTTTATCACTGTTCCACAGATGGATGACAGATAATTTCCAATAGCTCATCATATTTACCGAGAACGAAAGATGTTTGTCCACCATTTTGAATGATACTAACTGGAGTCAGGGTCATCAAGCTATGGAATAGTGGTTTATGAAAATAGATTGGGTTACTAAAGCTTGCCATGTTAAAGGCGATTGAACTATGTTATAGAACAACGTCCAGAACGTTATAATGTTTAAAAGTATAAATTTTTTGAAAACACATATAAAGGATCTTCGCCCGCAGGAAGTGTATTTTGAATGCCTTGAGAAGAATGCAAATATGGGTAATGGGTAACGGTATCGCAATAGTAGCATTTAAAAATCTGTTCCACTCGAGATTTATGGTCTTCTGAAATTATACTATTAATTGGTGTTGCTGCATCATTGCTCAAATCTAGAGGAGTGTTGTTGCATCTTCGGTTTGGTGTTGTTGCATCAATAGTGAGGAACTAAAACCGTGAACTTATTGCTTCTTGGTGATGGTACATGTATACTAATGACAGTTTCTTTAAATATAGATCGTGCGCTAACTGCACGTGTATGGTTATTGAGCAACTCGTCCTAGAAATGGGTTTAATTGGGGAAACAAAATATCGTACGAAAATCTATCACCGGAAGTCTGGCCATCTTGATGCAACAACACGGTGTTGTTGCATCACGATACTCCCCAGTGAAGATCTCGAGGACAATATTATACAACATCGATGCGTCACATTTTTTTCAAGTCTCGAAAACCAGCTCTTATTTTAATATTATTTGCAAAATAAACAAACTGGTTATTGTTTTGTAAATTTCGCCATGACAATATTGTGCAGTTAATTTTTCTTTCAAATCAGACTTAAATTAGAAGGTTAAATGAAGGTAAACTTATTGCTCGTCCCATTTGCCTTCAAAACCTTACACAATTTTGAAAATTTTAAAAGCGTTCATATATGATAATTTGAACTGTAGCCGTTAAGCAATTGTGACGTCATAAATGTACATGTTCCATTGAATAAATTGTGAAATTTTAGTGGGATTTTGATAATTATTTCAAAAGTTATCCCAATTTCAACGAGCCCTGTAAGTGTAAAGTGTTACGTCTTACAGCGTATTTGACGATGTCGGAATATATTTAACTTTAAAAATATGTTGGATCCCATCAAAATTTTGAAGAAAAAATAATTTCACTGACATGGGAATAAAAAATACTTCAAAATGATATATAAAACACATAGCTTGCTTTTTAAATAAGGCAGAGATTAACGCTCAAAGCTGAAATCAGCCCGTATTTCCCGAATTGTCCCCAGGTCCGTGCACGTCATATAAGTATTTCATTTTAAACCAAAGATTATTGTTTGAAATTTTCGTAATACATTTACAACACCTATTTATTTCATATACATTCCGAATTTTTCACCATAACCCCCAGGGGTCATGTCGGGAAAATGGGAATGGTCGGGAAAATGGGAATTTGCGTTAATTTTGAGATATTTCTAAAGTATAGCTTTATTATACTCAAATGAAAGGCAATTTATAGTAGATTGCAAGTATTGTTTCGGTTTGTAATTTGGGCATCGTAAAATTCAAAATGGCCACCGCCTTATGTGGAATTTCGCAATAATTTTCGGATCTCTTCAAAGTATGGCTATATTACTCACAAATTGAAGGAAATTTAGGGCAGATCACTATTTTGGTATTGTTGTCCTGATTTGTGCCCCAGAAAATTCAAATTGTCTTTTTATTATTTATGCCTTTAACTCTTTTAAAATGGTCACACAAATGCTTTTAAAATTGGTAGAAATTCTCATATATCTCTAATGTATTCAATGTTTATATTTTTGTTCGTTGGGATTTGCCTCTCCGTGGAGTTACAGTTTTCTAGTTTTTGGGCTTGTTTTATTGGTTGTAATGCTTTTGCTTCTGAGCCATAATATAAATATTAGATATTATTCCTTCAAATATGGTTTGAGTATGGATTAAGAGAAACCTCATGATCAGTTCGAGAATGATATTCAAACAGGCAGCTCGATTCAATATGGTTGCAATATGAAATCAATGATGTAATCTTTGATACCACAAGTACAAGCGACGTATTAACGGAGAATTAAAACACTGCCACAATTTCAATTAAAATGTAAGTTGTGATAACTTTAATAACTTAAATCAGACTTTAATAATCAAAGGCCAATGTCTTATGGAAATAAGACCCATGTAGAGAATGAATTTCCAAGATGGCTGCTCAATTCAAAATGACCGCGTCTTTTTTGTAAATAGTACAATTTCTGATACCTCCAATACCAGTTTTAGATTTTATATGCCATTGGCTTAGAGTTATATTACTCTACTAAATAAGTAATCTTGTTCGGTGGGATGATTTGCCACATTCGAGAGTTTTTCTACTTCATCAAGATAACAAAGTCACAATATGATTGTTGTAAATAATTATCATCATCACAATTTGTTAAATAAAATTTAAGGATTCTATGTATACGCCGAGTCTTCACCCCCTCGCACAAGAAGGGAAAAGGCTACAATACGAACGCCAGATCTTGATGGTGATGCCCATAAGGTGATACGTTTCAAATACCATACTCGTGGTCAGTTATTAGGGACTTTGAATGTTGATGCTTTTAATGCCAACAGTTTTATAGGGCCAGGTGAGTGAGATATTGCTTTCCTTCAACTAAAGTTGAACATCTCATTAACTGAACGTTATCGTATTGTAGTCTTTTTAGAGAAAATGGCTAATAAAAACAGTAGCTGAGTCCGATAGTTCCTTTTCACACGTGCATATATTTATTCTTCGGAAGAAATATTGCACTGTTCAGGTGAGATTAGATCACCCCTTTGTAAGTATTATCCGTTAAATATGTATTGACGCATTTTAGCATTTGGTCAATTGTCAATGACTTCATCTGATCAATGGAAAAGTGTGACGATGGCGTTACCAAATGGAACAACTGCTGTAGAAGTCACAGTGACCCTTCCTGATGATGACAAGTTTTGGTCCTCCGACATTGCCATTGACGATGTGTGTATCGATGAATTAGGTGCAGTATGTTTTAATAACTAGCCATACATTTATAACGCCGTTGACATGGTGATCTCCCTCTGATCTTTTCCCGATATCTCGCCGAAATGTAAACCAATGAAGTTACGCTTGTTGGATGTTTTGATAATCACTCTGACTGATTTAATCAAAGTAATTTTGAAATAAGTAATTTTGAAAAATTTCCCATTGTTACAGATGACCAGATAACTACCCCACCTGTCAATTCAGGAGTTGTATGGGCCTGTGACTTTGAACGAGCTGGCTGGGATAATCCTTTGGATAGATCAGGCTGTGGACATAACTTTGCTGGGATGACACAGTCTATATCCGATAGCTTTAACTTTACGAGACGAAACATTGCAACTCCATCCGTCCATACTGGTCCATCATCTGGAAGTGATTTCGGTAAAGTATATTTTCAAAGGCTCATAAGTCAAGAATAGACATAAAGTCAGCTATTGGATAAAGTTTCCATGAACTTTATGCCTTGGTCACATATGCTCCGATTTTACTCCCTCCAAGTGTTTCAAAAATTCATCCAATTGATCATCAATTTTCGAACTGTTGTAATTGAAAATTTGGAGGCAAAGGAAATAAAGTCAAGTTACATCGCCTTTTGTACTATTAGTTTCTTCTTTGAAGGTTGTGAGAATAAAAAATTAAGCATAGACAGGCTTTAACACATAAGCCTATTTACAAACTTATGGAGAGTGGTGTACCAACCAGCATCTACAATTATATTCAAATTAGAACGCGTCATACAATTTAAATTTAAATTGTTGGTGCCATTTTTCAGTTGTTCTCCAGATGTTATGTATTCATTTTCGTTCACTAATTACAATACAGGTTATTTCATCTTCACGGAATCGTCTCCTACCAGCAGTCAACCTGATAGGAGAGGAATGTTTGCAAGTGTTCGAACTGCTAGGCTACAAGATACACTTCAACAGTATTTAACGTTCAAGTACCACACTAAAGGCTACGTGCTGGGAAATATTGTGGTCGAAGCGATTAATGGAAATACTCAGAGAATAACAGCGTTACAAATTGGTATAGACTTGCAGAAATACATGGTGTCAATAAAGTCTCTGTACAATTACAACCAAAACCGGCGTAACGTTAAAAGAGACTTCATGGACACCCTGTATTTTTTATATTTTTAGACTTCTTAACTCTAACGCTGGTAAGGTATTTTTAATAACACTAACTGGCAGGGGGTCAGATAATTTCCAGAGTTAAAGAGGTACAGTCAAAACTAAGGCACTGTTTTATAGGTCATTCAAAACTCTCGAGGGAGGTTCAAAAAGTAGGTCTAATAAGGTCAAAAGTGGGTCAAAGTAACAGAGGGTGGAGATTTTTGTGTATTTTAATTTTTTCAATTAAAAACAACACATGATTAAAACATTCATCTCAGTCATCTCAGTCCAGTCCATAAAAATCCGATTACCTTGTAATATCGCCTGGTCGGAATTTATATAGAACCAGTTTATGTTTTTATTTCATGAAAACATGATAGGGATTGTGTGATTTTCAAGCACCCTAGTTTTCGAACACCAAGTTCCCATCATCCGTACTATACCCAGCCCCAGATCACCTCGATTTTTGCACCAAACATTGTATTTTATCCGTAGCTATAGCTCAGTGGTGATCCACTCGATCACGCTGGATACCGAAACGAACACTTTTAACCCATACCGTTTATGTAACTTAAGTGATTCCTGTTATGTCAAATTAATTTCTGAAATCAAAGTTCTATTTAACTCCGTCGAGTATATACTGTATATATACAATGTATGATAGACGTATGGATGAAATATTTGTCTACGTAATAAGGACTTAATTTATTTTTTAATTGTATTTAGGATTAAATATGATGTCCATGGACGCTTGGAAATCTGCTTCAATAGAGTTACCCAATGGGACAGCATACGTTGACTTCACCGTGACGTTACCAGATGACGAACGTTTTTGGTCATCAGATATAGCTCTAGATGAGATTGTCATAACTTCTATTGGTATGTTATTTGTTTAACATTACTCGGTAATTATGGACCTTTGGCTGAATGTAAGTTAACATGAGAGCTTTTACTAGACATAATAGTTTCAAACAGTTTATCTGGATCTTTGTGCTGTTTCAGATCAGATTTTAAAGTTTCAAACAAAAGTTCTCTGTGTTTTAAGTTCTTTGTGCAGCCATGGTAAAGTGAAGCTCATCCTCAATTTATCCACCACGACATAACCAATCACTTGTGGGTTTTGGCTTTGGTTTTGAGTACCACCCAACTTCTATCTGTAATTTATGTGAACTCATCCTGAGCCTAGTTAATGTATGTCTATACTTTTTATTTTGAATGTTTAAATATGATTCTTTGGTGAAAGTATTTTTGAATTTTATATTTGTCCTAAGTACAGGAAAAGTAAGAATATCATGTTCCCATTGAAGTGCATAATTACTTTTTACTTTCTTTGTGATCATTTGAATGAATATATAATCCTCTTCAACATTTTGAGTCAACCAATGAAAAAATAAATCACATTGTTTTAATATAGACTGTGGACTATTCTGTAGAAGTGCTCTAGAAATGCATTCTGCTTTTCATGGAAGGTCACACATTCCAACATATTTCAAACAATCTGTATGATTATGCTGGACACTTTCTGGGTAGTTGGACTTTATGTAGGGGTGGCAGAAGGCCCTCAGGCCAATTTATACCCCTACCCCAACAAAACCTTGGGGGTACTTTAATACCACCTAATAAAAAGAATACTAATGCATATCAGATATTCATCGTTTTATAGTGGGTAGGGCATGCCATGGTTAGTCAGTGCCAGAAATTTCCAATCTCTGACTTATATGGTTACCATGGAAACAGTATTTATATCTCACAATCCTCTCAATTTGACCCCGTCCCAAATGTGTCCTTAAGTTCTCAAAGTGAAATATTTGCAAATCTGTTTGGATTTTGTGGCTGCTACTTTGTAAAAAGTTGAATTAATATATATGTATTCACACTAAAGCACTAAAAACTTGATATAATGATCTGATAAATTAATAATATTTATCAAATGTAGTCACACACAACTGCTTTTAGGGAAAAATGGGCGTGGCACTTTTTGTTACTTGTGTAATTGTTGCAGCATTAAATGAAAAACACATATTACACTAACAACAATTGACATTCAATTAGCATCTACTAACATTGTAGTATGTTCATTATCATTATTAGATACTTTAAATATTTTATATAAGTGTTATCATGACCCTTCCCTATCATAGGTCATCAATGGTCAAATTAACTTTTAAGTCCTAGAGATCCTTAGTCTTTTTAGTTTGTCAAAGTCGTATTCATTGACTTGTACCTAGAATATGAATAGCTTCATTGATCAAGAGCTATGAGTTAAAATTGATTAATATATTTGTCAGGGTTAGAGCCATTTTATGCAATTGAAAAGTAATGGACCGTTCCATCCTTTGAGTATGATGTTATCTCATGCTGGTGTGATTTGCATACTAGTAACAGTTATGACTTGGATTAAGTTATATGAACTCATTTATCATAAAACAACCCTTCACTAGTATCTCTCATATTACCTCTAAATCATCTTCATATTCATTGCCTTAATCGAGAAGGAGGGAGGGGTTAAAAACAGGGCAATGAAAATTTGTAACAGAGCAAGGACACTGATCAGTACCAAGCGAAGGTAACGGCCGTAACCTTCGCATCTAAAATGGCGGACAGTAATTGTCAATTTTGATATTTTTAATTTTCATTGAATTAAGCTACTTTAGAGTTGACGTTATGCTTTGACATTTGCACCAAATCAGGCTTAAATGACATTGGAACTATAGATGTAGTAAACACGAATAAATGATATGTGAAATGTAATGCCCTGCCTTAATACATAACTAAGATTTCTTATTTTATCATTTAGTCAACCTGATGTCATATTTGGAATCTACATGTAAAATTACATCTAGAAATGTGGCTTTGAAAAGAGTTCATTAACTTTGAAAATTTAATTTTCTTTGAAAATGTGACTTCTAGGTCGGGGAGATTCCCCATAGACCCCATGTTGTAAAACCACAAAAAGTGAAATATCTTTTCTTGTGTTGGGCAGATAATATTTTCTTTTACTGGACATATTTTAATTTGTATAACTATCACATACATATGGGTAATATGAAAAGTGAATCACTAAAACTGATGAATATTCAAGTTCAAGGGAATTTTGTAATACCCTGCCATGTTATTTCCCCCGAATCAGCCACCTGGTGGCGAAATTGATAACTACCTACTCGCTTCTGAGTAATTGGACAAGATCTTATAAAGTTACAGTTTCCATATACTGTATAATCCATATTACTACCCCAAATCTCCATAGTTTAAGTTTATGAGTCATTATCTCTCATATTTTATGATGGCAAATGCCTATCCTTGTCTAGAATATGTCATTTTATCAATTTTATAAACAAGTATACAATTACACGCCCCCCCCCCCTCCCACACCAAAACTCCATTTTCTTTATCAAATCTTTCTACCTCTGTGATGATTCTCTGTCAGGTTTCCCCAATTCTCCATACTGTCAAGTAAACATCTAAATAGGATAGTTCTAGCTATTGCTGTTGTTTTGAAATGTCGACTTTTCTTGTTGAAATATTGTTTCAATTCTGACAGAAGTTTTTAGCCAATATCATTCAATTTATCAATATCCAAACGCAGGGTTTCAGAAAGTATGCATTTTGTTTGTGCCTGTATTTTCATCATGTGTACTTATTAAGACAGCTATATTTATATGTAAATACATTAAAACTTGATACATATAATCTTTTGACAATTTCTTCAGTAAAGTGGCCATTTTGAGAAATGATATATAGCTTGTACCTTTGTTTAATGCTCAACAATATGTTTGACTGGATTTTTTTTTATCTAATTCATATATATAGACGTGTCGCAAAAAGGTGGCGCTTTTTAAGGGTATCGCGTGAATGTAACTTTGATTCCCCGGATTATAAGATAATATTCTAATTAAAGTTATATATCATTTTAAAGCTGTTTCGATGAAGTTTTTAGATCAACTACACTCCGTTCACGATTCTTGCGCGTTCTTTTTTAGAGTTTGAAAAATAGAATACGGTGACAGCGACCTTTTTTGCTCATTTTTTGTTACCTTCAGCTTTTCAGGTGTACATTAAACAAAAAATACGAGATCAATTTTTAATAAATCATACATGATTATTTTGCTCCTAAACTCTATTTTATTAATAAACAGTTGATTTTGTTCGCAAAAGTATGTGTTTTCTGTTGTATGTGGAAAAGTGGAGGACGAAAGGTTTTCAAAATTCATTAAAATAGGGCTTATTTACGCCATTCGCCTATTTTCAAGCACAACAACACGTATATCTATTTCACCTTAAATATCAATTGATTCGTGTTTTATGATGCTCTTATCCCATTGTTAATACATGTACGATATCATAGTTATTCGACTTAAACATTTTGAGATATAGAGGTAAATGTGGAGGACGAAAGGATTTCCATGTGTGTACATTTTTTCTCAAAAAACGTCACATTCTGTGGTGTTAAAAAGCGAAAATGTGTAACAATGCGTGCGCGACCTTTTTGCGACACGTCATACCAAATACGAGAATCAGAATCTTATTCTACAAAATGGGTGTTCATGGAAGTAGCACTAATTATTACATCATTGCTATAAATCGTGTGATTTGATTGGCTAATTCAGTACCATGTGACTAAAAATACCATAGCGTATTTCACAGCTCCCTGAATTATTCTGTTATTGGCATATTTAAAAGATGTATTGCCCAACGTATTGCCAGCCTGGGGATTCTGACAACTGCACTTTCAATGATTTTTGCAACATGTATTACCATTGCCCTACAGGCTGTGGGCAATACATATTGCAAAAATCATTGAAAGATGAACAGGTATTGCCCTCCATAGAATGAAATATTTGCTTAATATTTCTTACTGTTTCGGGCTTAATATCAATTTTGTTATAAACTGAACAAAGTGGCACCTTTAACATGCAGCTAATTCTCCCATCTAACCACGAGAGCCTCTTTTTTAATATATCGAAATTTAAAAATTGCCTCTGATTCAATTTGTTCAATCAAATCTAAAATGGCAATACCTTTTTACTGCTTCGAACTTTCTTATATTTGATACCATAGGGGGTAGGATGTTTGTCTCTTTCAATTGATGCTTTCACCAGAAACATGGATATCACTAATTTTGATTCATATTTAAAATGGTGTGCATGCATAGACCTGTGTATTTTATACCAAATAGAGACACTTCCCTGGAGAGTTCTAAGTCTCTATATGTTAACAGCCTAGTTCCCACTTCCCTTGTTGACTTTGCTTCCATATTTCCTGTGAAGCCGTGGAACAGTTCTCTTGTTCTTCACAATTTTCCATTTTAATGTAACTCAATGAATAAGGCCAAATTCATATCACTGGCTTCTCTAGGTCATTTGAATTCCTTGCTATTTTTAAATCAGCAATTAATAATGGGCTAAATTATCAAATAATGAAAAAGTTGCAAATGATGAGATCTGCTATATAGCTTCGAAATCTTGCTGAAGTATAGTTTAACTTTAGGTTAACCAAGGGCGAATGTAATACCCGGATCGTTCGCAAATTGGCGTTCGGTTTTTTACCGCATCCGATTTGAATTAGCCAATAAACAATAAACATGATGCACTATTGTCTAATGAAGACCAAACAAAGCCCCGGGTGTCGTGTCGTTTCGTTTGGTACACAACTAAGCCGGGTATTAAATAAGCCCTTGGGTTAACAGGCTAAATTCTCATTGAGATAATTTTAAAGAATCTTAAACATTGGCTTATTGTTTCAGTGGTCCTTTTAAAGTTCATGTATACACAATCAGAACAACATCCAGTTTCAAACACTTCTGATTATCATCAAGTTTCAAACACTATCTGAACATCATCAAATTCAATGCAAATGCAGTTTTACTTTAATCCAACAGAACGAATACGGTAAATCAATAAACATTGACATAATATGTCAAGTCAATGGTAAATACTAGTATCGAGCTCAACTAGCACAAGTGCTGCCATCTACCGACTAGTATCAATCCATCTATCCATATACATAGCACCTAATGAGGTCACTACTTCAAGTAAAGCTTTTTCCCTTGTCTATGGTAAAAAATAAGTTAAACAGAAAAGTTAGTTTGACACCATTGGTGATGCCCACCCTGTATGGTATAGGGATAAAGGGAAAGTTCATGATAACACTTACATAAACTATCCTAAGTATCTAATAATGATAATGGACATATTACAATGTTACACAATGTTAGTAAATGATAATTAAATGTCAATTATTGTTAGTGTAATATGTATTTTTCGCTTAATGCTGCAACAATTACACAAGTACCAAAAAGTGCCACGCCCACTTTTCCCTAAAAGTAGTTGTGTGTGACTATATTTGATAAATATTATTGATTTATTGGAGCATTATATCAACTCTTTTTAGTGCTTTAGTGTGAATATGTACATATTTATACATTTTTTGACAAAGTAATAGCCACAAAATCCAAACTTTGCAAATATTTCACTTTGAGGGCTAAGGGACATATTTTGTAGGAGGTCAAATTGAGAAGATTTTGAGATATAAATACTATTTCTATGGTAACCATATAAGTTAGAGATTGGACATTCCTGGCACTGACTAACCATGGTATGCCCTGTCTACTATAAAACTAAGAATGTATGACATGCATTAGTATTCTTTTTATTAGGTGGTATTAAAGTACCCCCAAGGTTTTCTTGGGGTGGGGGTATGAATTGGCCTGAGGGCCGTCTGGCACCCCTACATGAAGTCCAACTACCCAGAAAGTGCCCAGCATAACCATACAGACTGTTTGAAATATGTTGGAATGTGTGACCTTCCATGAAAAGTAGAAGTTGCAATTATATCAGAGTAGTCCACAGTCTAATATATCAATAACTTTACTGGACCAAGTGCTAGCGTAGCCTAAACCATTCGTTTCAAGGTCATACAAATATGATTTATTGAGCATATTTTCTTCATGTCATTTCATTAAACGCAACCAATATTTAATCCACTTAATGTCAAAACGAATTTTTAAAGGATAACGTCCTAGCTCCCAATAAACAGCTGGTGTAGCTGTTGATTTTTCATAAATTGTAATTTTGAAGACTACTCCAAGGATGTTAATCAATAAATTGCAATTGTATTTCTTATTCTCTAAGATTCCACACATTCTACATTACCAACTCCAGAGACAACAACGGATACGCCAAGTAAGTATGAAAACTATGCTCTTACGTTCAGGATTCTTTAGATTTTGCTTATATACGCAGGGAGGGCAAGACATAGGAATACTCACATATGGGCAAAGAGGCAGGTACGTTATTGCAAGCTATTTTAGACATCTCCAAACTAAGACCTAATAATTATTTGACCACATAAACAAATGGGTTTGTTTGGCCAATGCGTTATCTTCATTAAGGGACAATAGAATGAAAATAAAGTCCATCATATTATCCATTAAGCTGTCATTAATCCACCCATCATCAGCAATTTTCCCCAGAAAACAAACGCATTTGTTTTTGTGGTCAAATAATTATTAGAACTTAAGTAAGAGCTGTCAAAAAATCTTGCAATAAGGTACCTGCCCCTTTACGACAATTGATATTTTCAAATTCTTTTACTCTACCAAAGCTTGCAATATGTGTGTTAATATCAACGACATTTGATGTGCACTATTTTTATGTCAACACAACTGGGTATCATGACTTATGACTTTGCGATATACGTTTACTGAGAATATCGCTTATTTATTCTTAGAAACATTTTTAATACAAAATCAAAGTTTGCTAGTATAAACTCAGACAACATAATGAATGATGTATCATGTACTTCGATAATTTCCAACTTGTTAAAGTATATTTGCAACCAGCTCTCAAAAGGGGATTTGTTTAATATTTCATACTTATAAAAGGAATACGTTTTGTCATGCCCTTGTATTCAATTAATGAATTTACTATGAATTAAACTTGTTCAAATACAAACAAAAAACCAACTACTTTGTTATGTAATGTTGTTTAATAAATTGCAGTTGCATTTTTTCCTCTCAGGCTCTACACTTTCTACATTGCCAACTCCCGAGACAACAACGGATACGCCAAGTTAGTATGAACACTTACGTTCTAGCTTAAGTTCAGTATTCTTTTACTTATAAAGTCAGAGAGGACGAGAAATAGGGATACTCTACTCATATATATTATATTTAAAAGAATCTATATGAACCAAATATCTTAAAGTTCAATAAGTTGCAATTAAAAAAAATGGAAACCCTAATACCATTTTCCTAATATCTTTGTCATTTTATAAAATAACTCCCTGATATTTTACACTTTTGTACATCATTCAATTTGCTACTTGCCTACTTTATTTCATGACCATCAGATTGATAGTCACAATGTTACAGTAATTTAAAGAACATGCCCAGTGGCCACTATTGCCTTGTGGGGAAACCTGTACTCATCGTCTAAAATGTCCTTACCTGTGAGGATATGGCAGAGATAGAGTATATGAGAATGACCTCAGGACAATTGCAAACCTCAAAAGTGAAATCATTCGTGTCATTCAGGCCATACCTGCTGAGGAATGCATTTGGGTCATTGACAACTGTGCTGTTTTGCCTACAGCGTGATGATGGCCAAATCTGAAGCATGTTTTTCAAAGTACTGTAAAATTGTGACTATCAGTCTGATGATCATGAAATATGGTAGGATGGTAGGAAATTGAATGATGTACCAATGTGTGAAATATCAGGGAGTAATATTTCAAAGTGACCAAGATATAAGGAAAATGCAGGATTCCCATTTTTCTGACCACCCTGTATTTATACTTTTTAAGGTTCAACACTTTCTACATTGCCAACTCCCGAGACAAGAACTAATACGTCAGGTTAGTATGAAAACTTAGCTCCCACATTCCGGACTATAAGCAGATAAAACTAGATTTGACTGAAATCTTAAAATAGCAACAAGTATATTTGATCATACAGCAACACTAACTTACTTTCACTCACACAAAATAAATTATTTAATAGGATTTCTAGGGGTTGGGGAATGCCTACAATATATTCATATTCAACATTTATTTGCATAAGTTACCTATTAAAACTGCATTCATATCATTTAAGTTTCAAAAAAGTTATCTGTGTTTTTATTTTTCATATTACCCTCCCTAGCATGGGCTCCAATGGGGAGGGACATAGCGTACTGGCTATCATTTATGGTTTATGGCGGGAATTCGAATAATACGAAGTATCTCTCTCAACAAGGTTAATGTACAGCCGTGGCCTTAAGGGTAGAGCGTCTTATACCCCTAGGATCCGAGAATCCCGAGATCCCCGAAAAAATGTCACGCCACCACGTCGAGAGGGAGGGTGGGGTTCCCGTATGTGCCTCCCGAGCTCAGGGAGGCTCACAGATGTCCCTCCCCATTGGACCCCACGTTAGGGAGGGTAATATGAAAAATCGTGTGCCTCCCCATAGGACTCCATGTTAAAGGTGTGCCAGAACTCTTGTTTCTATAACTACTCTCCACGATGTTCAAAAAATAAAAATACCTATCCTTGAAAATGAGAAATATGTTTTGGATTATATGATGCTATCTTAAAGTCGATAAAACGTTGCTTAGTGCATGACCTTTTAGATGTAAAACACATTTAGTTAAATGCATAAAACTCCCCCTGAAGTAAAGAAATCGGTTCTAAAATTAAACTGTCATATACATATCTCGTGGTTTATTTATTTTGGTGTAGATATCGATCATATATGTCATCTATTTACCAAATAAACAAATAAATAATTATATTAAAAAGACATTTTGTTGAAAGCGGGGAAAACCTTGCTGAACATCTCTAACCTTCTTACGTTCTTTCTATGATAGTAAATTTTCCAATTTTTCTCATACTTAATGTCTGTTTTAGTGAAACGAAATTAAAATTTATTAGTAAACAATAATGTGCAATTAAATGTATGATTTTAGATAAAGATTGCCCGTGTGCAAAAGTCCCTTTTATTAATTTATTTTCCCATAAAGATAATTATCGTTTCAAGGTTTCACGCCATTTGTTACAACTATGCCAACAACAGAAGCAACTACAAATTCTGCACGTGAGTATGATTATGGCTTATCCCCATGACCCATTTCATGAACAGTCAATGTTCACTACAGTTAATCAATTATTAGGCACCCTAAGCATACCTTAAACAGATGTGAATATTTCGAATTATAGTGAACATTGTTCTTTGTTTGTATATTTATATAACACATTTTCAGAAAGATTCGTCAACTTCACGTATGGGTTAACATGGCAAATGGCACAACAATCTTGTATACCTTTTCGTTATGAAAGAAGTTATTATGGAGTAAGACTGACAATCTATGAATGTTTGCACAGATGCCTTCTTGAAGAAAGTTTTCCATGTCGATCAGTGGAGTATATAAGATCCCTCGGAAGATGTTTTTTGAGATCTTCATCGAATACTACTGTACTTGTTAATTGTACAGCAGATTACTATATGCGACATATTGGTGAGTAAAAAAGTAATGCATTAATATCAACGATTCCATTCTGAAAATCAAAGAACTAATTATTGCAAGGATATGACAGATATTGGCATTTTAATCACTTTGTAACCAATCAGAACACAGTATAACCATTTAAGATTCGACAACAATTGAATGGTTATTTCGACCTTGACCTTAATTGACTAAAAAGGCCACACGTGTGCAACCCCAACTCTTGCTACTACAGTATATTTATCTAACAAGCAGACCGCTGTTGTAAAACATCAAAAAGATGAATGCATTTTAAAAATTTACTTTTAAGTAAGATTTTTGTATTCTCTTTCTAAAGCAGAATATCTAAGTACTTTCAAATTAGAATTGCATTAAGAAGGACAACGTAACAGTCTTTAGTTTTGCTTTAAAGCAAGTAGTCTGGTCCTTAAATACTTAAATACAGGTACATTCATTAAAATCTAAACCAAATGTGAATGATAAAATAAAAATTCTGTATGTTGTGACATTGTTGGCATGGAGATCCTTGCACCGTGACACATCAAATGAAGATAAAAATGATTGAACCATGGGGTTTCTTTAAATGAAAGCCCATGCTTGCAAAGATTTCTTGCTGAATATATTATTCATAACATGTAGATAACCATTACCATTGTGACTTTGAAAATGGAATGTGCGGCATGAAAAATACATCCAACGCGACATTCCCGATTGGTGATTTTGCATGGACGCTCAATTCTGGAGATACACCAAGCAAATTAACGGGGCCCGTTTCAGACCATACATACAGATGTGGTGAGTAAGCATTTGTTAGACATGTCTACGATTATGGGTTTATAAATAGTTTTAATCATTAGTCTTACCTTAACAGTTCATAGGACTTCATATTCCGCCAGATTGTATCATGGTCGGTGTATACTAGTGCTTTATGTCAATTTGTGTTTTAAAAAATCAATGTCGCATTCAATGTTGTTTTTAATCGACTATTCCAGGGAGTTATATGTACATAGAGGCATCAACTCCAAGAAAAAATGGAGATATTGCACGGATGCAGTCACCACAGCTAAGAATCACTGACGACGCATGTTTAACATTGTTTTACCACATGTACGGTAAACACATGGGGAGCCTCAGCGTGATAATTCAAAGAGAACAGGAACAGGAGGTTGTGTGGATGTCATCAGGTACACTTTCAGTTAACGTTCCTGATTTAAGAAATATTAATCGTAAAATCTTCAGTTCCCTTCGATTTTGGACTTCAATTCTGATTAATTTAGAGTCAAATATTGGCAATATTATTATGTAAGTACAAGTTCGACTAAAAATATCTAAGTTTACACCAATCATCAGAAAACAAATCCCAACTATCCAAAACCATAATCCAACGTGAAAAGAAACAATGTCGTAAACCCCTTCCCAACGATCCAAGTACCATTATCACAATGCAGGACCATAGCACTTACAACATAATGGATTTACTGTGTGAAAATAATTTGAGCCCAAGACTCAATGCCTTGTGGCTGCTTCATTCCACTCAGATGTTGTTTCCCTAACTTTGCATTCCCCCTGCGGTGTCATGCAAAAATTTGGAAACAACATCTCCGTGGAATGGTTCAGAACACAATGCACTGGGTCCAAGGCTTAAATCCTTAAATCACAAAAATATGTCATTTCTAAAAAGATTCAAGAATACATCTTTATTTCGCAATGACTTTCTCAGTAATCGTATTTAGCAAATGGAACACAAAAGTCATCCATACCATTATTGACGACAATTAATTGATATTCTAAGATGACGACTTCTTGGTTGTACTTAAAGCAGGTCTTGTGTTACAGTGTGCTATAACTTGTAACTTTTATAATCATTGTTTTGTAGTATGTTCCTCTTGATGTACTATATTCCCTCTTATCTTTTTTGAACAAGGGGATAAGGGTGATAAGTGGCTAAGGGCTGATATACCATTGCGTACCGGGTCTTACTATATGATCATAGAAGGGACTGTTGGAGATGGCTATAGCGGTGATGCTGCAATAGATGACGTAACAATTGCACCGGGACCATGCAATGGTGAATATATAGCAGCAGTAAAATAATTTATCAAAGTCTCACACATACATATAGTCCATGGTATGAAATCGCTAGGACGTCTAATAAAGGAGCTGGTAGCACACTATAGCGCAGCGATATTTGACCTCATATTAGCATACCTACATATGTTCCCTAATAATCTTTTATAACCGTTTAACATACTTCCGGGTTTTAGGCTGAGTAATGCCTGTCATTAGCTGAGGTTAAATAATTACCAAAAACAAAAATCCCATTTTTCACAATTTGGAGTACACAATGCGACAGAAACGAACTCCCGTGCAGTGATATATCACTGCGGCGGGCAGGTATCTCACCGTAAGTATGGTAACTTCGTAATAAACAACTGACGTGATTGGTTCTAGTCCCATGCTCAGGTCGCGTGATTGTAAAATTTAGACAATTTCATTGCTTGAATTGCGCGTATGAACTTATAAACAACACGTGCGGTAAACTATTGTCAACACAACTTTTACTCAGAATTCCTTCCGCGGTGATTTCTTCTCATATTTCAATAATTTTGACAAATAATGTTTGGGGAACATTCATGAATACATATTTTATAAGTTGTGTGAACATTGACCACATATATGATGAAAAAGGGAACTATTTTCCCCAAATTTTGGGGATTTCTTCATCTGCCCGCCGCAGTGTCTATTACCGAGACACTGCATGGGAGTTCGCGACAGAAAATAATACAAAACAATTTTAAATATATGATTTTGGTTTCTAAGCTATAAGTTTGAGGTTATTTTTCTCTTGGATACCCAAAAACTATGTTATCAGTGCATCGACATTTTGTATTGTTTCTCAGCTATTAATGAGATAAATGGTACAAATGAATCACTTTTATATTAGAATGACTTAAATTATGCTAGTTTTTCACAAAATGAGTCTCAATACGTATTTAGAAATGGACTTTTATTCCGCGGTGAACATTATCAATAAAGGAGGGCCTATTGCTCTTCCCTGACTATTTGCGACTACAGCCAAAATTCTATTTCACGTAGTTACATATTGCTCAGTTGCTTATAAAACAGCTATCAAGACTTTGTCGAATTGATGAATCATTGAGAAAAATAGTTTTCATTATCTGCTTAAAATTTGAATGTATCCAGCCGTAAGGTCAAAGAAGAAACAACCATCAGAAAATTTGATGATAGCCAGCAGTAACGTCGTGGAAGAATTGTAAAGCGTTCGATTGCATTTGACTCAAACAGATTATTAGTCATGTCCTTGGAATATATGAACATACCAATACCTCTGTAACATTTAATTAAATATAAATCTTACCTATTTGTTATTGAATTATTTTTTTATAAAACATGAACAACCATTTGTTGTTTGACCCCTTGCGATAATATGGATACATTCTGGTGATAAAATGTATTAAATTGTAAGAAAACTAATATGTTCGCAATTATAAATCACCTAAATATTCCATACATGCAATTTTGTCGATATGCTAGGTATTTGAAAAATCAAAAAAATCTGAAAAGCACACTTGTGTAATTAAACTGATAAAACAACGACATTTACAGTGAAGTTATAGTAAAACTTTACATTAGGATAATATTTTATTTTGTCCTTATACTTAGAAAAACGGTCTGTGTCTTATAAAATGTACGAGGCTGATCCAAAAGTCTTTGACGCCCCACTCTAACTTTGCTATTTTCTAATATGATCATGAAACATTCAGATAATAAAGATCAACATCTTAACAACTTTCAGTATCAGTTTCAACAAAAAATATTATATTACAGCTACTTTTCTAAATATTTTTTTCATACCAGGTCCCTGCCACCCGGAACGGTATTTAGATATAGCAAATCACGTCACAACTGTTATAAAAATGGCAAATACTTTAGGTGCAGGTGCACAACCTAATACTAGTCATGATATGAGAGAATTTATAAAAGTTCGAATCAAAACATTTACGTTTTTTGACCCCTTGTGGTTAAAGACATTTTTCGACCCAAAAGCCGGAAGTTTTTCACACCATGGTGTTCGAAAAAGTCAATACATATGCACCTGCTTAACTATTGGTTCAAATTTTGCTTCACTATAGTGTGCTACGGATCCTTCATGAAGTCATGCCATGGACTAATATATAAATATAAATATTATAAACATTTTTTAAAAAAGCTAGGATTGTTAGGCGCGTTATATGCCAAAAAAACTCAGAAGGTATAAGATACACAAAATCAGACGTATATTCTACATCTACAAAAAATATCTGACTATTGATTCCCAAGATATCATTACCTTATGTGATGGTGAAAACAACATTTACTATAATAACTTGACTTTTGAGTAGGCGGGGCTACAGTATCTAATGGTAGCTATGATCTGTGAAAGCTTCTTCCCTTTCAATTTCAGCTATCTCGGAATCTCTCCATTGTCGTTTTGTTTGATGATTTCATCAGGGCAATCATGCATGTTATAAAGTTTACTAGAACAGTGATTTTGATATCGTGTAGCTGTTCTACATTAACCTTTTGTAATTTAAATGAGAACAAATAAAAAATAAAGTAGGGAAATAAGCATTTATTTGCATGCATTCCTATATTTCTGTAATGGTAAATTGTGTGACCTAAAGTGCCCGCCTACCCAAAAGTCAAGTTACCATAGTAACATCATCTTCGACCAATCAAGATGCTGATATTTTACAACTCAATAGCTAAACGTTTTGTGGATGTTATGTGAAAGCTTCGTGAAAAAATATTAAAAACCTTTGAACTGAGAGCATTTTCCTGTGAACTCATTGAATGACTTATATATGCCTTTGCTTGGTAATCTGTACTTTATGAATAACATTTGCTGAATATGTGAAAATCACACCTTTAAAACCATTGTATATTTGTATTTCATTCAATTCCACAGCATCGTTCCCAGTCAATATTGCAAGGACGCCCCATATATCCAAGCCAACAAGGAAACGTACATTTAAACAGAATAAACCAACTGTCCTCTTAAGCTGCAATTTTGAGATGCATGACTGTGGATTTACAAGCGGAGGTCTAAATTCGTACTACATTTGGACCCGTGCACGGGCCACCGCTTTTTCGGACCATACATTATCAAATTCATATGGTTTGTATTGCAATTTTTTTGTTATTACTATTATGAAATTTAAGTAAGTTAGCTAATTTTGTAATAATTTATTGGCCTGATTTTGCGGACGTCCCTCATACGCTAGAAGCCACAAGAGTTCTAATTGGTGTATACCAACTTTGATAGTGTTTTCAGTTAAAAGGATGCTATTTTATCAGTGGATTCACAGAGTGGTATAAACCTTTTCGACTGTTGTGCTATTCATTCCAAGAATTTTCTCTTCGGCCTATATGGAATAATATATTTGTGGTCCAAGTATTCTTACTGAAAATGATGATTTTATGTAATATCTAAGGGTTCACTTAATAATCATTATCTCAACGTTTTCAGGATGAAACTATTTTTTGGGGTGACTTGCCTCTTGGAAAAAAGGTTGTGTCACTCTATGAAGCCACTATCGAATTAAGAGTTTCGCCCATGGCATTCTCAAGCCTGAATTTTTTCAAATTGATAGTTTACCATTTATTAAAGACATCTCCTATGATTCATGCAGTATCGATTTTCCAACGACATGATGTTCAATTAAAACCGTCCGTGTTAGACTCCAGTCTCGTTGTTTATGGTGGACTAGCATTCATTTGTATTACTATAAGTTCTGATATTTGAGCATGCTGCGGCTCCAGCATCTGTTAAAATAGTACTCACAATCATTGCGCAATCTATGGCTGAATTTGGGGTACACGGGATGTGCAATAGATATTCAAAACTTTACTGCAGAATCCATCTGGCAAATAAAAAATCAAAAGTACAAGCCATCATAATTGTTATACATATGGCATATATTCATGGTTGTGCGGTATATGTGATACGGGTGAATACGCCATACTCATCTGCGGTATATGGCATATTCTGCAGGTGAGTATGGCATATTCCACAGTGAATATGTCATACTCACCTGCAGAATATACCATGTGCCGCAGGTGAAAACTTGGTAAAGAAAGCCTCGATTTTATTGGTCGAATGAATCGATTATAAATGTAAAACTACTCTGGACTACCCATATTGTGAGCGCGGATTGATTAAGTAAGTTTATTATGTGCAATTGCTGAATAATACTACCGGAAGTATCAGAATGTGTAACCGTGGTTGCCAATACAACAATTCATTAATACTCGTGATTTTGTTGGTTTTTATCTAGTCTTTATCAACCCCTGTCGATTTAGTTAAAAAGTCATTTATAAAGCTCCACGAACGTAGGTTCGTTTATTTATGTATAATAACCTTTCCCTTGCGGTCTGTATTTGCGTGTAAAACAACATCAAACAATGCAGGTACCATTAATGTATGTTATTCGATGGTAGCTGATATATTCAACAGACCTGTTGTTTCAGTTATCATTATAATAATTTATAAACTTTTGTCCGTTCGTTTAATCGATGCAATTGACATTTGCGTACTTCCACATCGCATTCTTATTGGTTAGTGAGTTTGTCATATTACACAGGTGAATCTGTCATACACCGTAAGTGGATATGCCTTATTCATTGCGGAATAATGACATATTTTTGTATCGCGTTACCGCATAACAATAATAATTTTATAACAATGTGAATCTGGAATATTGCATATCAGCACTGTTAAGAAATATTAGTTGAACTGTACATGTATGCTTCCAGGACACTACTTGGGGGTCCGCACATCATCTTCTTGGAGCCGGCGTTACACATACGCAGTATCACCAAAAATTCGCACCACTACACCACATTGTATCATGTTTTACTACAAAAGCACTTATGTTTACAGTTACGAAACAATATATGTCGACAGAAATGAAACATCGAATGGGACGGTATCCACCATATGGTCAAGTACGATAAGTTTATTACAAGCGTGCAGTTTATTCAATGTGTCCCACAAGTAAAAGAGATATAAAGTAGTTGATATAAGTGTCGAATCAATTGTCATAGTTTTACAATATCGTTTTGCTCTCATGCACGGCTTTTCCTAAATGTCCAAACCTGAATTTATATAGGTAATTATTATCATACAGAAATTGTTTGAGAAAATGCGACTTTATTTAACATATTGGAATGGATTGCTCAAAATGTTTTTTGTTTCACGTTCGAATCCTTGAACTTCAATTTCGTTTAAAATACATACAATACAATACTACAATACAATATAATGCAACATAATTTATAGTACAATAAAATTACACTCCAAAGTTTTCCACTTTATCCAATAGGTTAAAAACAACTTATACAATCGTTTTTGGTCCATAGTTATTTATATAACCATAAATCATGAGGCACAATAAAATGATATAGAGTTAAAAAATGTTCTTTGAAGAAATTCTTGATGAAATCCTCATTTGCTCAGAACTTCTTTTCTTTTTATCTCATAATCATATGGTGAGTTTTTGCAATCACTCACTTGTCTGTCGGTCCGTCGGTCCGTCTGTCCGTCTGTATGTACAACAATACAGAAAAACCCCTACGACTCCTGGTTTTAAGGCTTGCCTATTTCCAAAATTGCCGCCATTTTTGTCTGGGGAAATTCACTTTTGGACCATTTGTTTTAAAACCTATGCCGATAGAATTCCTGTTTTAAGTTATTTTTGTTCAACATTGATAGAGAAAAAACCCTATGACTCCTGGATTAAAATCTATTTTCAAAATAGCCGCCATTTTTGTTTTAAGAGATCAATTTATTATAAAAATCTGCAAAACATCATATCTGCTTTTTATAGTTGGCAATTTTAGTTATAATTAATTTGACCATCTGTCTCTCTCAGTCGGGTAACAATAGTGGCAGATTTTAAAACCTGGATCAATAGGATTACTGTTTTAAATTATTTTGGTTCCTCTTTAATCCAGAAATCCCTCATGTGAGTCCAGGTTCAAACGCTTTCCTATTATCAAAGTGGCTGCCTTTTTAGTTGTGGCAAGTTCACTCAGAAGTACTCGAAGGCAAAAACCGCTTTTACAAACTGTCTTACGTACTACAGAAGCCGGCTTCTGGAGTCACCAAGAAGTCGGCTTTTACAAACTGGCTTCTTACGTACTACAGAAGCCGGCTTCTACAGTCAACAAGAAGCCGGCTTTTAAAAACCGGCTTCTGAAGGACAACAGAAGCCGGCTTCTGGAGTCACCAAGAAGCCGGCTTTTAAAACTGGCTTCTTACTTACTGACGTACTGCAGAAGATTGCTTTTGAATATAGTTTATATTGTCATATTTTTGCAAAACTATACGGGTAAATTGAATTCTAAGCATGGATATCGATGAATTTGATCACGTTCATCAATTCCAAAAATATTATGCATTAATTTCTGTTTAATAAAAACGCACCGCTCATTTTTCAAAATTCATTTGGAGCCAGTTTTGAAAAATGAGCGGTGCGTTTTTATTAAACGGAAATGCAATGCATAATCTGTTCTGATTAAGTGAACGTGATCTAATTCATCGATATTTGTACTTAGAAATGAATTTTCTCTCATAGTTTTGGCTTGAAATGACTTTTTGCAAAAAATCTTGAAATAAGTTACAATTTTACGTATTTTTCAGTTTTTTTCTCATTTTCATGCAAATTATACGAGAATAAGATGCATAATGCACATAGAAATGATCGTGAGACAGTATCCCGTGATTCCCAGTTGCTAGATTGTCCCTACATAGCTTGTGTAAGATGGAGCGAGCTGATATGTAAACTGGCTCCAAGTTGGAGCCAGTTTTGTAAAATGAGCGATGCGTTTTTATTAAACGGAAATGCAATGCATAATCTGTTCTGATTTGGTGAACATGATCTAATTCATCGATATTTTTACTTAGAATTGATTTTTCTCTCATAGTTTTGGCTTGAAATGACTTTTTGCAAAAAATCTTTAAATATATTACAACTTTATGTATTTTTCAGTTTTTTCTCATTTTCATGCAAATTATACGAGAATAACATGTATAATGCACATAAAAATAACTGTGAGATAGTATTTCGTGATTCCCAGTTATCAGATTGTACCTACATAGCATTTGTCATATGGGGCTAGCTGATTTGCAAACTGGCTCCAAGTTGGAGCCAGTTTTGAAAAGTGAGCGGTGCGTTTTTATTAAACGGAAATGCAATGCATAATATATTCTGATTTGATGAATGTGATCTTATTCATCGATATCTGTGCTTAGAATTAAATTTACTGTCATAGTTTTGGCTAGAAATGACTTTTTCCAAAAAATCTTGAAATATGTAATAATTTTACGTATTTTTCATTTTTCTCTCATTTTCATGCAAATTATACGAGAATAAGATGCATAATGCACATAACAATTATCATGAAACAGTATCCCGTTATTCCCAGTTGCTAGATTGCCCCTACATAGCTTGTGTAAGATGGAGCGAGCTGATTTGCAAACAGGCTCCAAGTTGGAGCCAGTTTTGTAAAATGAGCGATGCGTTTTTATCAAACAGAAATGCAATGCATAATCTACTCTTATTTAACGAACATGATTTAATTCATCGATATTTTTACTTAGAATTAAATTTCCCCCATAGTTTTGGTTTGAAATTACTTTTTGCAAAAACTCTTGCAATATGTTGTAATTTTACTTATTTTCATTTTTTCTCTCATTTCCATGCTAATTATACGAGAATAAGATGCATAATGCACAACAAAATGATTGAGAGAGAGAATCTGGCTTTTAAAACTGGCTTCTTGGTAGCTGCAGAAGCCGGCTTCTGTAAGTCATTCGAAGCCGGTTTTTAAAAGCCGGCTTCTTGGTGACGCCAGAAGCCGGCTTCAGATGTACTGTAGAAGCCGGCTTTGAAAGCCGGTGTGAAAGAAATGATGGTCCCCCAGGGATTATGGTCCCCTTTCTTAACGGCCCTTACTGGCCCTGATTGCGTATAAGATAATGAGGGAACGAGTTGTATTTAGGTCACCATATAAATCAATGGAGAGTAGGACCATAATTTGAGAGGACCTCCTACCCTTTTACACCGGCTTTGTATATTTGCCTTCGACTCTTTCTCAGTTCACTTTTGGACCATTCAATACCTTTATAACTAATTTCAGGTGTCCTGCATTGTTATGTCCCCATCACATAGTGTTGGGCCATATTATCGGCCTAGGCGCGTCCGTCTGTCTGTCCGTCCGTCCGTACGTACGTCCGGCAGTTTTCTCCAAAACCGCTATAGATATCACCTTCAAATTTTCAGGGATAACTTATGAGTGCATACAGATGTGGATGAAAAAAAATTAACTCGATACCTACTTCCTGTCGGCCATTTTGAAGTCAAATGCTAAAATCCTTGTCTGCAAACTTTAAGAAAAACGGCTTCACAGTTGCTTTTAAAACTTTATATCTTGTTCAGATCACTTCATTCTAGATCTGATTAGGTTTATTTGGACCTGTTAGCTCAGTCATGTCAGCCATTTTGAATGTTTTAGGAAAAGTTAGCACACGATAATACTTTGTATCATATTGAATAGTGTTTTTGAGTTTTCATACTTTAAATATTTAGTAGCTTTATAATTAATTTCAGATGTGCTTTGTTGTAAAAGCCTATGTTATTGTTAACAGTAGTTATATGTGATAATTTTGTAAAAAGAAATCAGCAAAAACTCATAATCACTTTTTTATTGTCGGCAATTTTGGATTTTTCCGTCCTAAAATCTAGTCTGTAAAGTCTTGTCTACGCGTTTTCAGGTGAACCAATTGGTAGATCAATTTCAAATTTTCAGGGATGATTCTTAGTATGAAAATCTAGATCCGATTAGTTTTTGGCATTCTTGGTAAATGTCAAGGCAGCCATTTTGGATTTTCCGTCCTAAAATCTTGTCTGTAAAGTCTTGTCTACGCTTTTCTAGGTGAACTGCTTGGTAGATCAATTTCAAATTTTCAGGGATGATTCTTAGTATAAATCTAGATCTGATTAGTTTTTGGGCATTTTTGGTAAATGTCAAGGCAGCCATTTTGGATTTTCCGTCCTAAAATCTTGTCTGTAAAGTCTTGTCTACGCGTTTTCAGGTGAACCGTTTGGTGGATCAATTTCAAATTTTCAGGGATGATTCTTAGTATGAAAATCTAGATCTGATTAGTTTTTTGGCATTCTGGATAAATGTCAAGGCAGCCATTTTGGATTTTCCGTCCTAAAATCTTGTCTGTAAAGTCTTGTCTACGCTTTTCTAGGTGAACCGCTTGGTAGATCAATTTCAAATTTTCAGGGATGATTCTTAGTATAAATCTAGATCTGATTAGTTTTTGGGCATTTTTGGTAAATGTCAAGGCAGCCATTTTGGATTTTCCGTCCTAAAATCTTGTCTGTAAAGTCTTGTCTACGCGTTTTCAGGTGAACCGTTTGGTGGATCAATTTCAAATTTTCAGGGATGATTCTTAGTATGAAAATCTAGATCTGATTAGTTTTTTGGCATTCTGGATAAATGTCAAGGCAGCCATTTTGGATTTTCCGTCTTAAAATCTTGCCCGTAAAGTCTTGTCTACGCGTTTTTAGGTGAACCGTTTGGTAGATCAATTTCAAATTTTCAGGGATGATTCTTAGTATGAAAATCTAGATCTGATTAGTTTTTGGGCATTCTTGGTAAATGTCAAGGCAGCCATTTTGGATTTTCTGTCCTAAAATCTTGTTTGTAAAGTCTTGTCTACGCATTTCCAGGTGAACCGTTTGGTAGAAATTTAAAATGTTCAGGGATGATTCTTAGTATGAAAATCTAGAAGAGATTAGTTTTTTGGCATTCTGGATAAATGTCAACGCAGCCATTTTGGATTTTTTGTCCTCAAATCTTGTCTGTAAAGTCTTGTTTACATGTTTTCTGGTTAACTGTGTGACGGATCAATTTCAAATTTTCAGGGGTGGTTCTTTGGCATTCTGGGTAAATTTCAAGGTGTCCATTTTGGATTTTCTGTCCTCAAATTGTGTCGGTAAAGTCTTGTCTACTCATTTCTAGGATAACCATTTGACAAAATCACCCATAGGTGGGGACATTTTGTACACATTTGTGTTCTTGTAAAAACACATGTCACTGTAAACAGTAGTTTATGAGTTAATTTTGTAAAAAAAATTGGCAAAGCTTATAGACTTTCAGAGGGGTCAAAATAGATGAAAACAGTGTTGTAAATTTAATCATGCTAACGTGTCAAGGAAAATCAGTTATTCTTAACTTATACCTTTTAACGGATCCCACTTATCTCCTCTTCCAACACTTAAGTCGAATTTATTTTAGGTTGATACATTTAGCTTAAAACCTCTAAATGTTGGTTCCACCCGAAAATATTACTCTTTTGAGGCTTAATTCTTCTTCCAGAAGACATATTTCATGGTTCCTAAGAGAATTTCAGAGAACATTTTCTTGTTTTTGAAAAAACGAGAACTCATGCATACAACTGACGTTAAACAAATAATTAAAATCCACTGGCCTAATAAATATAAACAAAAAACACAAAATCTGGTATAATTTTTATATTCTTTTTTGAAGTCCATGTTCACATTTTTTTCGTTTCTGCTTGTTGGCCGTCACGTTATTATTTCAATTTGAAGTATTTATTTAAAATTACTCAAACAAATACATTCTAACATGTTTGTTTTTTCCTCTGCATATAACAGAGAGCGATACATCATTGTTACTTTTGTGTTTTGTATTTAATAGGTAGGCCAGTGACATCGTGGCGGCGTGCTATTCTGACCAATATACAGCCAGGAGAATACCAAATACGTTTTAGATTTGCTACTGATAATTCTAGGTTTATAGCCATAGATGACTTAATTGTTTCGTCAAATTGTACCGGTAAGCCAACCATAGCTCTAAAAACTTAAATAAAATATGATTAGCGAAGGTCATTATAACTCAAGAAATGCTAGTAAGTAAAACTTTGATTGTGCAGATCTTAACGGCGAGGACATGTTGGAGGATGACCCCCTATTTAGGTGTACATTTGAGGAAGACGACTATATGTCTAAATGTTCTAAGATGACAAATGATATGATATCACCGCTGAAATGGATCGTTGAGTCTGGGAGATCAAGTGACAATTATTGGGGACCTACATCTGATAATACATTCAAGAATTGCAGAGGTTTGTGAAATCGTACAATCACTATTAATTCAACTAAAACGCTTAAATGTTTTTTATTCAATTCCAATTACTAAATGATATTTTCACGGATAAAGTTAAAATATCGGGAGATATGACATAATTTTCTATTTTGCTTCACTTCACCAACTCAAAGTGTCCTCAATTATGATAACAAGTCACGTAGGTCGCATATATAAGCATTTATACTAATCAAACTTCTTTTTACCATTATTAGGTGTGTTTGCCTCATCGCCAGCTTCTGGCAGTGCGAGGTATTATCTGCCAACAATGACAGGCACCGTTGGGCTCAGATTTGCCTATAGAATACACCATTCTGTTTCCTTGCGTGGACTGCGGGTATATATAAAAGAGAAATCAACATCGGAATTTCTTTGGAATCCAATACTATATAGTAAGATTATATTAGATATATTTTCGAATTGTTCATATTTAAGATTTCTGTATTGGTTTATGGACACGAATCACTTGTTAATTTTATCAATGTGGAGACTAGCATTTCGTAGGCTATCAAAAGAAAACCAATTGTAATTTCCCGTTCCCGCACATCTGAACCATTTACACGTTAGAAATCTGATCAGTAAATAACGCACTCATATTGACATTTTACTTTGACAGCTAATAACACATGGCAGTATGCGTTCATTAAGTCACCTACTGGTGCTGAAAATGTTACGTTTGCTATTGAAACCAGTGGTGCAACACTAGGAAGTGTAGCAATAGACGACATAGAACTGGGAACTAGAGGTAAATAGAAAATCAGTAAAAAACAAATATGATTTGTAGCTGTACCGGTAAAAAACCTAGTGTATCACATTCCAATGAGGAATTCTAATTATTGGAGGCACTAAAATACTATAAGTTATTGAATGATTTGAAGTGCAATACAGGATATATTCTGCTCGAGAAATTCCGTATTGGAACGATACGAAGTCGATCGTGCCAATACAGAATATCGAGACAGAATATATCCTGCATCAAATCATTCTATAACGTTTTTATCGTGTGATCCTCTGTATTCCTACTGAGAATGTCCCCTCCGTACCAATATTTTCTGTATTGCGAGGGAGATGATCAGTGGGGACAATATCAGTAGCAATAATACAGATTGGTACAGCACAAGAACTGACCAATCAGAAGGCTTCATTTTACAGATCATACGATAAACCTAATTTTGATGTGTTTCTTACCTGTAAATATAACTTTGAAACTTTAATTTGTAGGATGTGATTTCGACGGAATGCGATGCTTTAACACATCTAAGTGTATACCTCTCTACAACATTTGTGATGGTGTGTACGACTGTCCAGAGAAGGACGACGAGAAAAACTGTGGTAAAGTACAATCATTGATATGGATATTACGGATTGAATGGAGACAAATTTTTAAAGTGTATCTTTCAATAGTATGGAATATAGACCCGGTGTAATCCATTCCGATTTTAATTCAAAAGTAGTGCGAAACAATGGTTTAAATCAGTATTGGCTTGTGCTCGAGATTATGTTGTCCTAATATAATACACAGATCACATATTTTTCTATTAAAAATGGTAAAAACTTCAAATCAATTTGAATAACAATGTGACCACCAAATTCAAGTCGAGCCATCCAGATGTGGCCGTTACAAAGGTTAAGATATTGACACGGTTTTAATTTTGAAACGTATAGGTGCAAATTATATTTGATTGATGACTTAGGAAGATACTAAGAAACAGTAGTATGGGTTCCGTTTTGTTAAGACATATGTGCTAACCCCGGGGTGCTAACACCAATCAATATCTTCTCTGTAGATTGTTCGTCCGTCCAATTCGAATGCAATGATGGAGCTTGTATAGATAAACGAAAAGTTTGTGATTGTAAACCAGACTGCAGTACGGCAGAGGATGAGAACAATTGTCGTAAGTTTCATCGTTATTACAATTTAATTACATGTACGTCAGTACAAGGTTTCAGACAATTCGCCATCCGGTAAGTGAATCCGCCGTTTTGACCTTGACCCCCTCAGGCATCAGGTATTCCGCCATCTTGTAAAGTAATTCTCTATTCTGGCTGCGAGCGTTACAATAATGTCAACAAGCACCTGGTTTGTTGCTGCTTTGGCAACACTTTTGATTGGTGTTGATAATGACATATAAACAAAACATGAATCCGCGAACCGTTTTAGTATAGGCCTGATACTTGTCTTATTTACTTCGTAACATAACCACAACAAGGCACCAATCTGGTACCATGTCTTTAATGAATCAGAGCATAGGCGTACCCGGGGGGGGGGGTCGCGATCGCATTCCCCCACACCCCATAACAAATAAAAAAATATAACAATGATATAGAAGAGGAAAAAAGCTTTAAAATGCTTTTTATTTGAAGCTTCTAGCTCAATTTTGAATGAAGTTGAACAAAATTTCGAAAATTCAAGATAAATCTTATAGGTTTTGGCTTGTTTATGGCACAATCGCACCTCCTGACTGAAAACCGAATTTTTGTGGCGATCGCACCCTCCCCCCTGACTGAAAGCTGGTTACGCCCCTGCAGAGAGAACCCAAAAATAGTTTCCTGACACTGATATCCAAAATGTGTCCTTCTTTGATTTCACTACAAGCAAAAGCGTAGGATAAACTCTACCTGATTGAAGCCTAATTGTTGTAGTAATTGTTACACATACTGAACAGACTAATGTATTTTGGAAGTAGCACATGAGGTTAGATCTGTATTCAAAACTATATAGTTTACGTGAAAAACTATATAGGTTACATGTAAAACGAAATCATTGACAATGGAAAACGGAATCATTGATATTGTAATACAGTAATACAGTAATGTCACTAGGTTAACAATCAAAGTAAACCAAAACAATTCATAGTTGCAATTATAGATCTCTAAATGGATAGGTGGTTTCTCTGTACACTGTATTTGATCACTTAGGGCTAGGCCAAGGTTTGGGTTAGGGGTAAGGGTTGGGCCCAGGGGTTAGGGTATCGTTAGGGTTAGGGGTACAGTTGGGGTTAGGGTTAGGTCAAAGCCAATAATTAAGTTTTCCCGGTGCTTTAAAATAGAACAGGAACACATTTAGAGAGCAAAATTTGTGAAAATTCCAATAAAAATTATGGAAATATTTTTGGTGCCTGAAGGTATTGTAGTAGCCAAGAACTAAGATAGGGAAGTACCTGGCAAGATGGATGATTACCCGATATCTTCAACTGAAATACATACTCTTCTACCACTAAAAGGATCTGTAATAAGTCTGAATAACATAATACCTAACGCAATATTTGGACCCTGCTTTAAGGAGAGATGGATTTTACAAGAACATTTAAACGTCATTTACTATTTTTTGGCGAATTTTACAGTGCCTCTTATGGCTAATAGAAGCCATAGCTTTGCTGCGAATATGAACAACCAGGAGGTCATCTTTATGTGTAATTTTGAGCTTTCTCCATGTGGATTCGAAAGTTCTGACGAATACGGATCCTGGAAGTTCGCCGGTTGGGACATGAATGGAAGTACGTTTGTTTCTAATATTATTTCCATAATTTGTAGATCTCCAACTTTATATCGAATGAATAAATGGTAAAACAACAGCCAAATACATTTATAGATTTATTTCAGACACTTTATAATTTTTAATTCATTCAAAGACTAAATACTCAAGGGGCGAGGAGGGAAATTCTCAATAAATGGAGTATAGTTGGTTTGGCAGCATTTTCAGTTAGGGGAGAGTCTTGGATGAAATTTCCACCTAGGTGATAGCTTCACAGAGTGGTAGGAAGTTCTTTTTTTTGAAGAGTTAGCCCCCTACCCCACAAAAACACCCCACCCCGGGGAAAAAAATTGTTCACACTAAATAACCTTAGATATTTTGATGTTTGTAAGTGACATACATAGATATTATATATATGAATCATTTGCAGTATAATTGATGCTGATTACTCCTAAAAAATTGAATATTAGTACAAAGTGTGTACCCCAGGGGGCGAATTCGTGACCAATTTCCTTACTATTTTGATCCTAACTTTTCAACTAGACACTGTAAGAGGTTGAAAAAATTCATGTGAAGTGCCCAATAGAAGGGTTAGTAACCCTGAAAGATGCAAAGCCATGGAAGAAGTAGGAGCTGAGAAAATAATTGTTGATTTTTTCGAAAAATTTGACATTTTTGACAACTGGATTTTGTGTATGACTATAGCTGACCCCTATAGTTCCTGGATCCATCCCTCTATGATGATATATATGGTTTTATAGTGTGGAACTAAGATGTAAAACATAATTAAGATGGGTTTTAAGGAAGTTTAAGGTTTTAAACAAGTCCAAAATTTGAAAAATTGTAAATATAAGGTTTCAAATTTACGAATTCCAGGTAGAGCCATGGCAGACCCCTATAGTTTCTAGATCCATCCCTCTATGGTGATACTTATGGTATTGCTGTATGGAACTAATATGTAAAACACAATTTAGATGGGTTTTAAGGAAGTTTAAGGTTTTAAACAAGTTCAAAATTTGAAAAATTGTAAATATAAGGTTTCAAATTTACGAATTTCAGGTATAGCCATGGCTGACCCTTATGGTTTTTACATCCGTACCTCTATGATTAAATATACAGTTTTAGAGTGTGGGACTAAGATTTAACATACCCAAAATGAATTTTAAGAAAGTTTAAGGTTTTAAACAAGTCAAAAATTTGAAGAATTGTAAATGTAAGTTTTCAAATTCATGAATTTCAGGTATAGCCAAAGATGACCCTTGTGTTTTTTTTACATCTATACCTCAGTGATGAGATATATATTTTTAGAGTATTTAACTAAAATGTAAAAGATGCATAAGATGAGTTTGAAGGAAGTTCAAGGTAACAAGTGCAAAATTTGAAAAATTGATCTCGAAAATTGGTCTCAAATTCACGTTATTCAGGTTTGAAGGTTATGAGCATAATAGTAACAACTGTGATATCATAGCTTAGAGACCAGGTGTAGAATATATACCTGTTGCAGCAGTTAGTCTGCTGCATATAAATGGAGTGAAAAGTCATGAACTACAGTAAAATCTTTCTAATCTGAATGCTACTAGATATAGTATTTGGACCAGCTAAAAGCCTTCAAATTAGAAGTGTTTGAATTTTGAGGTTTTTACATCTGCAATATTCTGGATTTTGAAGAAATATGAATTCATTCTCAATGAAAAATATTAATAAATATTAATAATATTTATACTGACCACCCAAAAAGCTTAATAGCATTCCAAAATCCAATTCAAAAGTTTTGATATCATAACAATTCAGTGTTAAACTGACAATATTTGAGCAATTTTGTAAGAAATATGTGATATTTGGTAAAAAAAGTTCAAGTAAAACAGGTTGATTTTTCAAATATGAGTGTTCACTGTTCGAATTAAGAGGTGTTCAGATTTCAATTTTTAAACATAGGAGTCAATGGGAGGAAGGAAAAATTGAACTGGGGAAAAGTGTTCAGATTGGTTGGTTTTCAGATAAGTCAGGTGTTGGGATGATTGGTAGGTGTTCACAATAGTCAGATGTTGGGATATACAGGTTTCACTGCTGATATATCATTTATACAAGATGATGAACTAGAACTACTGTACAAGGTGCCTTTGATAATTTTTACCACAATGTTATACTATGTCAGGAAAAGAAAGCACCCATGACACTGTGCTTCTACAACTTGAAAATCAACAACACTTTAACATTTGATAAAGGTGTCTACCAAATGAGTAATCCACATAAATTCAAATACAAGCACTTGGCATGCTATTCCCTATGATCATTAGTTTCATTAGTTTCTCTAGAATCTAAAATTGACCTTGGGTTTATGAGAGTAGTAAATTGGAATGCAGTTATATGGAATATTGAATTGGCTGGAATTGGACACACCTTGCCTAGAAATGTGTGAGTAAACTATGATCTTATATGGATACAAACAGTTCGTTTGACAATGATCATCTATCTTATCCTGTAAAATCAGAACTTAAAAAGGGGTTTGAAATGGAGATCGATGAAACCATACCACAAATTGATAAAACTTTCATGATTGATGCAATGGCTATGACAAAGGGAAAATGAAGATTAACTTATATGTTGAAATTTGGAGAGTTTTGGAAAGCTAGATTTGACTACTCCATCAAATCTAGTAAAGGAGCCCAAAGAATAGATTTCATATTAGACTCCTAGCTAGTTGTCTCCATCAGTAAAGGATTCTGAAAGAATGCGAAGAATGGATGCTTCCCCTATTGAACTTTAATCCATAGAAGAAATTACACCATTACCTAAAAATATGAATACCTTTGTCCAAGTAATATAAGACAAATTTTCAAAGATTACAAAGAAATTCAATAAAGCAGCATTCTAAAAGTGTGCCAAATGTCAAGATTGTTTTAAGTGGAACTACTGGAGAGAACTCAAATATCTGTGAAAATGATAACTGAAATCTCCTGTTAAATTCCACTCCTGAAGAGGCTGATTTTAAAATTATTCACTCTGTTTTACATTCAGCAGAACATGTGGGACTGCAGTAATTTGCATCAAATGACACTGATATTATAATTTTATGACTATCATTTCAATAAATGAAAAAAATTCTTCAACTATGCTAGAAAATGTCATCTGCAAAGTCAGTATGTAAACATTTTCTTCAATGTCTGTTTGTTTGAAACATATTGATCATATCACCATATATACTTTATTGATCTACATGAAGATTTTAATGTGACAAGACCCTTTTACCCTAGAGTTCCTTATATCATTGCACTAACGGAAGTTTCTAGGCCCAGGGGGGGGGTATGATCCTTATAATCCTTATTTTCCCAAATAATTACCGTTGCCTGATGACAAATTGTTTTATTGGGAGTGTAGTGATTATAATTTGATAAGTCATAACAACATTTTGTATTAGGAGATGATCATTGCTTAATTACAGAAGGGGCATAACAAAATATAGAGAAAACATGTTTCTTTCAATTAACCATGTCTTTATGTATTTTGATAATGCAGAACATTACATCGAACATGTTGATGTGAAAAAGTAAAAATGCTATATCACATAATAAATATCATCAAATAATAATTAACTAGTTATAATCCATTTAATCAATCAATTACTACACTGTATACGATATCCCTAGGAGCAGTTACACTTACTGGGGGATTTATTAACCTCTCACCCCCTTAGGAACTCAAGGGTTAAGTCCTCAACTCTAATGATTTTTCTTTTAACAATACATGTAACATGGATCAAACCTGACCACAATATTTTCAACATCTAATTTCTAAGCTAAGTCATACATTCAAAAAGAGGGACATCTAGGGCTATACCTGAAATCGTAAAGGAGGACTGAAAGTATCGCAACAGATTTCAGCAATCATATGTTGGATTTTGGCTATTTTCTGAGGATTTGAGGAGGTGCATATTTCATGTTGCATGTTAGGCCAATGCATTTCCTCCAGGAAAAGCACCCATAGATATGATAAAATAATTTCTATTTTGAGACAGGGAAGGTGCAAACAACCCATCCACATGCATAAATATATATGTGTATATGTATGAATATATGTGTTTTACATACAGTTAACCACTTTAAATGAAAATTACATTCCATCAGGGATTTTAAAGATATCAAATATGGGTGACCAAAATTAAGCTGAAAGCAATGGATCACATGAGTTTTACCTATGGGAAAATAACAGGAAAATATTGTTTTCCGCTTTATCTAAAAGAAATTTATCCTTTTAATGGTTAACTATGTCTCAAACGCAACATATTGCAAAAAAAATTGAAAAACCAGGGGTGAATAGGGTTGAAAATCAGGACGACATTTCCCCAAAAACATGTGGGTGGATTGTTTTCACCTTCGCTGTCTCAAATTCCAAACTATTTTATCATCTCTAAGAGTTCTTTTCCCGTAGGTAATGCAATGGCCTATCATATGCACCTGCTTAAATCCTCAGAAAACAGACAAAATCCAACATATGACTCTCTGAAATCTGTTGCGATACTTTCCGTGCTCCTTTGAGACCTGATGTTTCTCAATTTTTCAAATATTGCACTTGTTAAAATTCTTAACTTCCTTAAAATTCATCTTCGGTATGTTTTACATCTTAGTTTCACACTCTAAAAGTATATGTTTCATCATAGAAGTATTGATGAAAAAGCCATAAGGGTCATCCATGGCTATACCTAAAATTCGTAAATTTGAAACCTTATATTTACAATTTTTCAAATTTTGGACTTGTTTTAGATCATTAACTTCCTTAAAACCCATCTAAATTATGTTTTACATCTTTAGTTCCATACTACAAAACCATAAATATCATCAAAGAGGGATGGATCTAGAAACTATAGGGGTCAGCCATGGCTATAGCTGGAATTCTTAAATTTGAAACCTTACATTTACAATTTTTCGAATTTTGGACTTGTTTAAAACCTATAACTTCCTTAAAACCCATCTAATTTATGTTTTACATCTTAGTTTCACACTATGAAAGCATAAATATCATCAAAGATGGATGGATCTAGAAACTATAGGGGTCAGCCATGGCTATACCTGGAATTCGTAAATTTGAAACCTTATATTTACAATTTTTCAAATTTTGGACTTGTTTAAAACCTTTAACTTCCTTAAAACCCATCTAAATTATGTTTTACATCTTAGTTCCACAGTATAAAACCATAAATATCATCATAGAGGGATGGATCTAGAAACTATAGGGGTCAGCTATAGTCATACACAAAATCAAGTTGTCAAAAATGTCAAATTTTTCGAAAAATCAACAATTTTTTTTTCAGCTCCTACTTCTTCAATGGCTTTGCATCTTTCAGGGTTACTAACCCTGCTATTGGGCACTTCACATGAATTTTTTCAACCTCTTACAGTGTCTAATTGAAAAGTTAGAATCAAAACAGTAAGAAAATGAGTCACGAATTTGCCCCCTGGGGTACACACTTTGTACTGATATTCAAATTCTTTAGGAGTAATCAGCATCAATTATACTGCAAATGATTCATATATATAATATCTATGTATGTCACTTACAAACATCAAAATATCTAAGGTTATTTAGTGTGAACAATTTTTTCCCCAGGGTAGGGTGTTTTTGGGGGGTGGGGGGCTAACTCCTCAAAAAAAGAACTTCCTACCACTCTGCGAAGCTATCACCTAGGTGGAAATTTCATCCAAGACTCTCCCCTATCTGAAAATACTGCCAAACCAACTATACACCATTTATTGAGAATTTTCCTCCTCGCCCCTTGAGTAAAACGTGTTATGTGATTTCAGGAATTGGTTTTGCATGGACACGTACATCGAACTCAACGATTGGTCTTTTATTTTCACCCATGTTTAATGCAACATCACAACATTGCGCGATATTCCATCTGAACTTCGGACTTCAATATGAATCTTATTTAACCACTGTACTGGTATACAGAAAGGAAAGTGATGCACAGGCAGTTCGTATCCATAGTGAGGATATAATGAGTAAGTAACTTAAGGCACTTGTATTTGGTATTAGGACATGTTTATTAATTCCTGGCACGTTTTAATTATCATTCCTAAAAGTGAGACTACGTGTGAAACCCAACTGTTATTGGCGATCAAACGTTGGGACTATTGTCCAGTAATTCTGAAGACATACGTATTGCATACTAAGTGAGGTCCGTTAGCTACTACTTTTTGTACCAATTTTACTCCAAAAATGGATTCATTAACGATGTAATGTTATACTGATGAAATGGTATATTTCGTTTCAGTTTTCGATAATCGACGTTCCACAGATATAAGGAGTATAATTGTTACTGGTATAGATCCCGGGTCATACAGTCTTAACATTCAAGTTAAACTACACAAATCGATCAGAAGCTCTAATCTGATAACTCTCGTTGACTTCACATTGTTAAAAGACTGCAATCAAGGTAATGCCGTACGTTATGTCTTATGTGTAGTCCTAACCAAAGTTTTCATATAGGCTTTAGTCAAGGTACTGGTTGAAAACAATTCTGAAAAAATGCTAGCACATGTTATTTTCTGGTACAAAATAAAGTATGAAGGTATCTGTGAATTTCCTTGATCTTTTCATTTAGTAAATCTGGTAAAAGGTCAATGGTAACTCCAGGAAATGCTGATATTTCATGCCATCTAATTTTCCAAGTTTTTTTCTCAAACACAAATGTTTTCGTTCCACCAGTATAAGAACCTGTTTAGAAATCTGCACACATCAACGATCGAGTCTCAACAAGTAGATTCATGTGGGGTAGCATTGCTAGAATCCACTTTTAATAGTAAGATTAGGGGTTCTTAAACAGGACATCGACTTGCTTTTTATAATCGTTTGTTAGGTCTAATGGAGTGATAGCTAGAGAACAGTTTTAAAATGCCATTTCTTTTTCAAAAAGATTTGTACTTATTTAATTATAGTCAGCTGGTTCGTGTTCAGAGAGAAATGAGAGGAAACTACAAAATTAGTATGTTTCTAATCAAACATCTATACAGGGTGTCAAATAAGTCCCGTCCCCCCTGCTACAGCTAAAGCCTTAACAGACGGTACCTAGTGTGATATACCATTGGAAAGATCATCCAAAGTTATGTTAACTCACCAACTCTCAAGTATTTTGGATGAAATTTACCTATATTTTTATGATGTCTTTTATAGTCTACGTGCCCTCCTTTAAGTAGCTTTTTTGCGTCAAATTGACAAGGATATGACCTCAGAAATACGTCAAAAAGTTGATCTTTTTCGCATTCCACTTGTTACAAAATGGTTTTCAGCACTTTCCCTGCCCCTCTATTTTCTACACATCTAACCCTATCCAGAAATTGGTTAAATTCATTGCCATAAATATATTTAGTCATCTTTTGGTCCCTTGACCTTTCTTATACCCGATTCTCAAAATCCTGCCAAATATGCCAAATTGCCGTGTTTCTAGGCATACGGTCACCTCAATTGATACAATGTAAAAAATTGTGAGATCGATTGACATGTGTCAGATATATGCAAATCAACGTAACTTTGGAAGACCTTTCCAATGATATATCACACTTGGTACCAAATATCTTGGTTTTGGCTGTAGAGGTAAATTTTGGGTGAAATGATGTTTTCATTCTATCCAGTAAAATTTTTAAAGTATTAATCTGAGTCTTAAAGGACATCAAAAACAAAAATTCCTTAATGTGTAGGCTCAATCAAGCACCATAATGATCTTCTTGGGCACAAATAACATCTCAAAATAGCTTTTCCCTGTACATATTTTCCAACATCACAGTTTTTCTGAGGCTGAATAAGGTTTACTTCACCTTACTTATCTGTCTTGTAATACTTCTAATACTCCATTTTTGTCTCAAAATCGTTTTAGAATATACTGAACACGCTGCCCCAAGTGTTTCTCGAACATACTGAATAATATGCCAATCTTTAATTTGTGGAATGACTAATATTACTATAAAATCGTCGCTTCAAATAAAATCCCGAAATCTGGACATTTTTTTCAAATAGACCTCTAGTGTTTGTTTATCTTTATTATCAAAAAATCTTAGAGATTCATTTAACGTAATTTAGGAACAATTGTACAACTGATTCCTGCATATCCTGGAAACTTTTCATTGAAATACAGCAATTTCAAAAAAAGTTGTATTGACATAACAAACATGGACGTTTTTGGCCCACCCTGTATGAACCTGTAAGGTTGACAAGTTTAGCCTGAATTAAAATGCTTCAAAATCTTAGTTTCTGGGTCACTCTGTATTAATATTAATTAAAAATAACCGGCTGATATCAATATTATATAAATCTCAAATGAAATCAAATTGCACCGTTATTTGATGAGATTGTTGTTGTTACAATGTATAGACATTCAAGCAATTCAAACTGTTTTTCCACATTGTTCGATACTTTACAGATTTGAAGCATGCCCAGCGTACTAATAAATCGCTGAATGTATTCAACTGCAAGTTTGAGAATGACCCTGACTGTGCTTTATTGAAAGATGGAAATATGCAATATGAGTGGTCTTTAATGTCAACAGAAAATGTAACCATTGACTCACTGCCCTTAAGAGATACAACTATGCAACAATGCCAAGGTAAGTACCGTTTTAATATGTTGTAAATCAAATTGATAGTGATCTAACCGAAGAGATACATTTACTTTGTGTAGTACAAACGGAAGTTTATGGGGAAGTTTCTGATTGTAACGTTATATTAAGCACTCAAAGGAGTGGTACCGATATGGAGAACTTTTTGAACACACGTCTCTCTTAAACCAGTAATGAAAAAAATCGAAAAATTTAACACATCGTCAATTTAATGGTCATCTTTTGAATGGTAACAATATAATTTGAAAAATATATATATATATACTTCCATCTATATTGTTTTAGAAAACACATCAAACACTTGTTTTGATCTTGGTATCATGTTTCCAGAGTAGAATAAAACATCTTTCCGAACTTCATTGGAACAAAACGACATAAACACAACATGTTGATTTTAAAAAAGTATCTTGTTCATGAAATAAAGGGTTTATCTTGATTTTTATCTATTTTGGGGGATTTTGTTTTAATTTTTTGAATACTTTTCTAAAATCAACCAAAAATTCCTTTGTATATCTATAATATTATTGAGAGGTCTAAAAACATGTTGTATATGCTATTTTGTTCCAATAAGGTTTGGAAAGACATTTTATTTCATTCTCAAGAATTGGTAGAAAGGAGCAAAAACAATTGCACCAAAACAATGTTAACAAAAACAGTTATAAAATTGTATGAAATAGATCTAATTAATTTTCGCATTAAATTGTTGTCAAACAGTCAACATTACATAAGAGACCGTGTTTTTTACAGAATGTTTTCAATGATTGGTTTAAGAGAAAAACATTGTTGAATTCAGTTCTCCATATCGATACCACTCCTTTTAAAAATCCTGTATATTCACGCATGCTCAATCATTTTTTGTTTCAGCTCCTGGTCATTACATATTCGGTGGGAGTAAGACCTTCCTGTCCATTGATAAATTGTATATACTGGCACTGCCAATATTCAGCGGATCAAAGGCACTATATTTAGTATTTAATTACTATGCATCAAGCACTTCTCGCACTTCTGTTTTGAGAAAAATGAATGGCAAGATATATGTGATGTGGCATGCAAAGGATGGTAAGAACCTAGGCAATATGAATGTTTCGCTATTCACAATTGATCTTTGATCGAGAAGTAAGATCAAGTAGTAAAAAGGCGAATCATTTTTATAAAGTTTGAAGATTTCATCTGAGATGAGACAACGTATCAGTCTGCCTTAACAAATAATTTAAAATTAATGTAAAATGTTTAAGTTCCATTGACCTACCTTTTTAAGGTACTACACGGCGGTACTTATCGGCCATCTCTATTTAACTAATAGAAAGGTTAAAAAACAAATTAGATTTGCGAATTATGCATGAAAACAAAAATGCAATGTCTCGTGCCATTGTATCCCGCAACTCAATCATAGAGTAACATATGGACAGAGTTTTAGAATAATACAAATAATTAAAGTTAAATGATATCGGCAATAACGAGCCACAGCTGAAATAAATAAATATCTTTGAAACGTTTTACTTTATGAGATCTATAACGTTTTTTATTATCTGACTGTGACCATGTATTTCATAGTTCAAGTTGAAGGTGGCTTAGAACCAAGATGGCGTCAGGCTGAAATATTACTGAGCAGTACACCTTATCCGTTTACTCTTACGATTGAAACTTTAGGACTTGTAGCTATAGATGACATTTCTGTTTCTCAAATGGGTAAGCACATGACAGATAACTATTTATTTGCTATAGTCGTAAGACTCTACTATTTCATCCGATAAACCATTCATAAGGAACAGACACATAAAAACAAATAAAATAATCATTACTAATAAGCCAAATGGGTTGCTTATGAACACCAAATGCAAGGTATAGTAGAGTGGTCGTGTATAAACTGTAGTAATCGCGAGAGGGAGTTGTTTTACTTCATGGTCTACCGAATATCAACACATATACACTATAAATATACGTCAAAATTGAATAAATGTTTAATTTTTATAGATATTGGATCTTAAAATGTAGTCTATCCAAAATTTTGCTTCATTGTAAAAGAGGTCTCTCAACAAGTTATTCTGAAATATTTACCATCATTTTTTAGAGGACTGCCTGTCTAATGAATACCAATGCAGAAACTCAAATATCTGCATACCATTGCTTAACAAGTGCAATCAAATTAATGATTGCCCTGAAAGAGATGACGAAGATGATTGCAGTGAGTACATTTTACATATTATATAGTTTAGTTTAGTTTATTTATTTATTTATAGTCGTCAGTATTACAATTCAATTATAATATATAAAAAATTAATATCAGTTTTACCCAGCCCACCTTGGGCTTATTAACCACTGTTAGCAATAGGAAATACAAAATTAATACACGAAAATCAATATCACAGCTTGTAAATGAATAGACTTCTGCGCACAAAAGCTATCTTAATAAATTTAACAATTTTACAGGTATGTTCCCTAAAAATAAATTCAATTTTGCTATCTTCATTCTCCAAATCTTTAAAAGGATAGGTAGCGATATGGAGAACTGAATTCAACAATGTTTCTCTTAAACCAATCATTGAAAACATTCTGTAAAAAATATGGTATTTTATGTAATGTTGACTGATTGACAACAATTTAATGCGAAAATTATTTAGAAATATTTTATATAACTGTTTTTGTTAATATTTTTTGTGTTTTTTTAGTGCAATTGTTTTTGCTCCTTTCTACCAATTCTTGAGAATGAAATAAAATGTCTTTCCGAACCTTCTTGGAACAAAATAGCATATACAACATGTTTTTAGACCTCTCAATATTTAAGTTATACAAAGGAATTTTTGGTTGATTTTAAAAAAGTATTCAAAAAATTAAAACAACCCCCCCCCCAAAAAAAATAGATAAAAATCAAGAAAAACCAACCAAAAAAAAATCAACCAAAATTTCCTTTGTACAATTACAATATTGAGAGACCTAAACATGTTGTGTTTATGTCGTTTTGTTCCAATGAGGTTCGGAAAGATGTTTCATTTCACTCTGGAAACATGATACCAAGAACAAATTAAGTGTTTGATGTGTTTTTTAAAACAATAAAGATGAAAGTATGTATATCTATTTCAAATTATATTTTTACCATTCAAAAGATGACTATTAAATTGGCAATTTGTAAGATTTTCAGAAATTTTTGATGACTGGTTTAAGAGAAAAGTGTGTTCAAAAAGTTCGCCATATCGATACCCATTCTTTACCTCATCGAAATATGTTTTTCTCAGATCATCATATCTATTGCAATAGAATAGAAAATGTATTTCTGTTTCAACTGAGTCATCGTTACATAGTGTACATAATCTTCCATAATCTTTTATAATGATTGACGTAATTGTTGTTATATGTTTAAAGCAATACACAATATAATACAAAGTAAACTGATGTATACATGATATATCACTGGCGTTTAACGTAGCCCGGACATACTACTCCGTAACGTTAAGATCATGTCTGGGTTACGTTAAACGCCAGTGATAGTGATAACATTTGCACCAATGCAAACCGTGCATGTATATACACTATACAGTTTATGGAACAATGATACAAATTAGTGTATGAACATGTAAATACGGATTTTAACCGAAACTTCATTTTCCTAAAGAAACATATAGAAGGCATATACCACTCATATACTGCATATACCACTCATATATCGTATATACCACTCATACAGCTTATTTTTGAATCATTATCCCAATGAATGGAGTTCGAGAGGGATAAATATAACGTCCGTCCGGGCGATAACTAAATTAACAATTGACGGATAGGGTTCAAAATAGGCTCATGCCTTCTGAATGTAGGACCTCTGCTCGAGAAGGAATTTTCAATATGGCTACCCAATTCAGAACGGCCGTAATGTTTCATAAAAATGTAATATTTTGTAACTCAAATACTAGTCGACGGATTTAGTCAGTTTTTATGCTGTGAATTTTGCTCCTGGAGATATTTTGAAGATGGCCACTGAATTTCAAAGATGGCAGCTGAATTTTGGAATTGCTGTTTTCTGGTTTATCTTAATAAACCTCACCATATACCATGGAGCCTATTTAAAATAGTTTATTTGAAATGGCTGGTTAAAAAAACAAATGATTAATTCTTGGTAAAAAGGACTGATAGATGTTAACATAATTTTAAATACGTTATTTCTACAGTATGCCATATCATAAGGCAATTTGAATGTTTGGATCAAGATGGGAGAAGACTGTGTTTGAATCCAGCAGATAAAGTTTGCAATTGTATTGATGACTGCATGAATGGGGAGGACGAAATGAATTGTAGTAAGTAGACTTTATATACATAGTCTTCTATCTAAGTCGAAGAGTTCATACAGATCTGTATTTGTATATAAGCTAGCTCAGTTACAAGCATGACAAATTCTTAATGGTTGTCGGGCTTGTATAAGGGATTATACATGTATAGCATCACTTAAAAAATGGTGGATATACAGGGTGGTCCAAAAAAATGGGACACTCGTATTTCAAAAATAAATATTGATTTTCTTGATGAAAACATGTCATATTGTATACCAGTGGATAGGGAATTCACTTATCTTAATTTGGTATATCATAAGTTCAAATTTATTATAATGTCTGTCAACCAGCGTCCGTTATATAAATGATGTCATTTTAGATTCAAAACGGGTTATCCAAAACTTGCAAAAAACAAGTTTTTTGTCAACTTCATTTACACAAACAGACGTTCAATATGTTCATCATTTTGATCAATTATAGCCCTCAATTTTGGCCTAAACTGGTCAAAAACATCATTGATATTCTGTTGAGACAATGAATTCCACTTCTCAACAAGTTTATCCTTAATAAGGGACTGAGTAGATGTAAGGGGTTCATGGTAAACCAATTCTGTAGGTTCTCCAAATACCTGGTAGTCGCAGACGTTGACATCGCATTATCCAACTATGTTGTTTTTAGACCCCCCTGATATGAGCTCATTCTCGAATCATTACATTTTCCAACAAGATGGAGCTCCAAGCAATAGATCTCACAAGAGTGTCAAATGTTTAAAGGAAAATGTGCCTAGATTCATCCCCCTAATCGCTGCCTCCCCCAGACCAGATCACACGATCACCCAACGTCTGCAACTACCAAATAAGGGGAGAACTAACAGAACTCGTCTACCATGAATCCTTTACATCTATTCAGTCTCTTGAGGACAGAATTGAATTAATGAGAAGTGAAGTTCCATGTCTTAGCATATCAATGATGCTATTGGTCAGTTAAGGCCAAAATTGAGGGGTACAATTGATCAAAATGGTGAACATATCGAATGTCTGTTTATGTATATAAAGTTGACAATAAAACTTGTTTTTGCAAGTTTTGGAAAACTCGTTTTAAAATGAAAATGACGTCATTTATATTATGGACGCTGGTTGACAGACATTATAATAAATTTGAACTTATGATATACCAAATTAAACATCAGTAAATTCCCTATCCACTGGTATATAATATGACACGTTTTCATCAAGAAAATCAGTATTTATTTTTGAAATACGAGTGTCCCATTTTTTTGGACCACCCTGTATTTATAGGTAAACATAAAAATCGAAAACGATCTATTTTTCTGTATTTAAAAGTATAGAACAGTGAGTTTACTAAAGAAGGTAACCTAAACATACCGTGTTTATATTGTTTACTATCGTTTACACTAGGGTGATACAAAAATGACAACCATCTGACGTTGCATAACTTTTTTGTCTATTAACATGTCAACTTGTCCTTTGGTACATTTAAAGTTGGCATAATGCAAAAGCACCTCAAGAAATGTCAAAATATGTGTGGGTCGAGTTGATCACATTTTATGAGTGTTACTACATTTTGCCACTCAAGTTTTGTAACATAACTTTGTAAATACTAATGATTTTGGCTTGTACTTTCAGGGAAATGAAGTCCATTCAATTAAACACAAAATCATGTAGTTGTTGTCGCTGATAAAATTATTATAACTTATTTCCAAAATCACGTTACAAAAGGTGGGTCTCATTTTTTGTGTAAGATCCAGTTGTACCAGCAAATGAATAGACGACACATTTTGTAGCGCTCATAAATGTGCATCTAGGTGAGCTAGTCATCTGAAACTTCTTGTGGAGCTGCAAAATAAAGTGAAGTTTTCATTTGCAAAAGAATTCAAGTCAGAATTTCTTCAGACAAAAATGTTATGAAACATTTTGTGGGTGGGTGTCAGTTTTTGTGTCACGCGATATGTGCATGTACAATGAACAACTCAGGTCAGTAGATCGTTTTGTAAAATGGCCATGAAATCAAGACAATTGGGAATAGACCAATGGAACTTCATAGAATGAAAGAACATTGAACAAGGTTAAATCGTGCGCAATATGACTTTAAAACCGTACCTAATGAACCAGGTATCAACATTTGTTTGGTTTACTTTTTTGGCTCACCCGGTAGATATCACGCGTGATACATGATTTTGAGTTGGAGATGCTTTCCTTCAAGAATACGAAACGCACAACTTTAAGATCATAAATGTCATAATGTAACATTTTAGCTGAGGTATTTTACTAGAGAGACTTTCATATCCAGTATTGAATTGATCTAGTGAACGATGACGACTGTTACTTATGTGATTTTTAGCAAAAGTTAATGAGTTTCCAATGGAGTCTACAAAAATGAAAGTATTTGAGAAAGACCAAATCGTGTATTACATGTGTAATTTTGAGGATGGGCCGTGTAATTTTACTAATGGAAACAGCTTGAGTAGATGGAATTGGACCTTTTCAAAAAGCCAAGGTATGAGCTGATTTTATAACCTTGGCAATCCTTTAGACGCAACTTGAAACCTTAGAAATAGCATTTCCAGGATTTGGTTTAGAATGTCTTTAATTTCTAGTTCTTTGACACAACATGTGCTCAAAAAGATAGTTGATTTTGTCCCAATGCTTTTAATGTTTCGGTGTTACTTCTCATTCAATGTTATGACATACGTATATGTGACTTTATTTAATATAAAAATTAAGCCCATCCAAAAAGTTTGAAATATTGCATCTTCAGTAGCGAAAACATCAGTGGTGTCAATGTCTTATTAAAACGTTATTCCTAAAATTGACGTTTTTGGCCCAACATGTACATGTTGCCTGGTCAGTTAACTATAAATTGTGCTAATATTTTATTTCCATTTTAACAGGTGCTTCGATGCAGATTACACACTCTCTGAATGGCATCGATTCCTCATATGATAACCCATATTATCTAGGCAAGGAAAGACTTAAGACACCAAATATAACGATAAATTCAGAACATTGCTTGGTCTTTGACCTGATGACATGGGGATCCAATACAACGAAGTTCAGTATCTATAGAGGAAATGATTCAATTGAGGAAAGCATACTACAGCTGTCAGGCATAAGTATACAGCACTGTCTTATAATTTCATATATTAGCTTTCCATGCTATGAATATTTGACTTGCCAGGTTTAATTCTAGTCTGTGTGCCTACAAATTACAAATGGTATAAATCATTAAGCCATACATTGATTTCCAGTAATTGCAAGTAAAAGTCTGCTTAATTCTAAAAATTACCCCCAGTTTTTATTCTATATTATTTTGTTCAGCGGTTGGTGGTTCCAATAACTTTACAAATACTGTTTAGACTGAGTTCATTCTTTTTAAATCATCTCCAATTTTTCAGAAATTCAAATCTGACTTTATATTTTAAGGTCAAAAATTTTCAAGGTCAAAAAGGTTAAAACGGTAAAAAGGTATTTTTCAACTCGCTTCATATTGACCACTTTTTCTCAAAATCCTCTACAAGTTATCAGAAGTTTAAATCTGACTTCAGATTTGAGATTTGACCTTTAATGACCTTCTCAAGGTCAAAAGAAGATCTAAAAGGTCTTTTTTCAAGTTGCTTCAAACTGACCAATTTTTTTTCAAAATCATCTACAAGTTCTCAAAGATCCAAATCTGACTATAGATTTGACATTCAATGACATTCTCAAGGTCAAAAAAGATTTGACCTTCAATGACCTTCTCAAGGTCAAAAAGGTCTTTTTTCATCTTGCTTCAAATTGACCTTTTCAAAATCATCTTCATGTTCTTAGAAGTTCAAATCTGATTTCAGATTTGAGATTTCACCTTCAATGACCTTCTCAGGGTAAAAAAGGCATTTTTTCAACTTGCTTCAAATTAACCAATTTATTTTTTGAAAATCATCTACAAGTTCAGATTTGACTTAAGATTGAACTAATAATATTGTGAGCAGCTAGGTGGTGAAATTTTGTCATGTTAATACCTTGTTCATCATTTTGTCCACATTGTTATAGGCTTATCCAATTGCCAAAAATACAATTTTCCATGACTCAGATTTTATAACCGGTCAAGCCAAGTAACTTAGTCAACATTCGATATTCGTATGTTCATCAGTATTAACTTAGAATGGTGCCACAATTGAAGTAAACCTCTGTTTAATTATTTTCAATAAACCTATCAGCAAACGTGTAAATGATAAATTTGATGTTCTGTTACATATTGGTGAAGCAGTCTTTAGGATATGGCCTAAATTTCTGAATTTCCACTATGTCCCTGTATACCCTTACTTAAAAAGATGTATGTTATTTCTCTTATGTTATTTATATAGTATGTTATTTGTCATTTTTCATTATGAATCAACCATAAATGTATTTTTTCTTGTTTACATACAGAATGAACTTTTTGTTTCCAAATATTGAAAGATGGTACTGCATTTATTTTCTCATGATATGGGGGAAACAAATGCGTGACAATTTACACTGTAATATCCCACATACTTATATTTCAAGGATAGTTTTGAAGAATAATCAAGAAAATCCATGTTTTCTAATGAAATCATCCTTGTCAAAGAACGTAAGTGAGGATATGTGGTTTGAAAAACTAACAACATGTTTTAAGTTCTTACAATTCTTGTTTAAAACAAACATTTCGAAAGTTGTGATTTCGAATGTAATATCCAACTCAATGAAATTTGTTGATATTTGTGAATTTTTTCTTTCGGAATGCACATTGCTGGATCACAGAACCTTGCCTTGTTCGAGATGCACAGAAAGGGTATTGTTAATACTTGACGTCGTTCGGATATTCGGATGTGATTGACGTTTTCGTTAATCTCCAACCACTGTAACTTCCAACTTAATTTTTGAAAGCCAAAAATGATAGTCATGAATCGATATTTAAGTCACACGTGGATGCATACATCATGTTTCTACATTAACTGTCGAATACATGCCGACTTACATTTATTTAAATATACACAGTTAACTCAAATCATCAATTCTCGAAACGGTTTATCATATAACCTGACCTGAGTTTAATGTTTCATTTTAATTTATAATTATGGTATCGGATTTGAGTATGATTTTAGTTGAGGCTTAAACAAAGCAATAAAATTGCGTGAAACCTTTTGTGAAAATTCGAACGATTTTTCAAGAATCCTCCTTCAAAGTGTTATCACAGTGCTCCCCGGGAGTGGAAATTTCGTCTAGTGTATTCAAAATAATAGCGGGTGGTTTGAATTTTTGTTTGAGTTTATAGCTCAGCATCTATAAATTTAAAAACATGTCGCCTCATTGAGAGGTACATGCAGATTTTGGCGATCTATCTTCATAAAAGGCTAAATTTTGTGCAAAACAGGAGTTGACAGGCTTACATTTGGAATTGAAATTTCCTACATAATTGTCGACTCATGTTTAAAAGTCATGAAAATAAGGTTGAACACAAAATAATAACCTAGTTACTGTCTATTTAGCATGGGATCACTGAGGGAAATATTATTAATGACTTAAATCGTTAACAGTTAAGTTGTATTCCAAGAAACTTATAAATTATCAATTTAGAAATGCAAAATGTTCAATTTTGTTTTTCAATTATAAAAAATGGCACCTGTAGAGAACAACGTTTACAAAATTATTTAAAACGGAGATATTAACTTATGTAACATTCGCTGGCATGTGTCAGGGAGTAAATAAGAAGAATATGCATTTGATTCTATATCTTGTTCCCAAAGGAGTTTGTTAAGGAGCGGTATATCTTAACGTACTTTTATTATCCCGAACTCAAATATTTCGAATCCTTATTTCGACAACGCTTTGTTGAGAATGGATTCAAGATGTACTCAAAATTAATACGTTAAAAGATGTATTATCATCTTAATAACCACCTCACAAATTATTTTGGAAATCAAAGATGTACGATTTTTGAGATTTTTATTTTCGAATGTTGACTTTGTTACTTGGCTTGACTGTTACATGTGTCTGTGCTGATGCCGCATTGGCATAGCTCTATCTGATTAACGAGGACTTTTTAAGATAGTTGTTGAATTCAAGTAATTTGATAAAATATATTTTGTTCAGTATGATCTCCCTTTCCGGGGAAATGTGTTTCTTCAAATAAAATGTTCGGGGAGATGAAAATTAAAATTACATTTAAATGTTGAGAATATAAACTACCTAACTGTCAGGAATTGGTTGAGATTTGTCAGAAGTCAAAATGAGATGCTGCAATGTATGGAAATTTAAACATTGGCCGTATACATGTACGTATATTTAAATAAATAGTTCATTAAAATATAATAAACTGGGGAAATGCGGTAGACGCACTGTTTTGTTTTCAAGTTAGCATATTTCAGCACATGAAAAGGTATGGCAAAGACACGTTGTTCACGATCTTCAAGCAGGGACATTTAATCTCGTATTTGCTGGCGAAGTGGATAAGAACCTCACTGAACAAGGATACGGCCTCGACAACGTTATGCTTCTGGGACATTGTAATGGTAGGGTCTTCTTTGTAACTATTTTCTCTAGATTTCATAAAATACTGACTGAGACACATAAATTTTGTTATGAGCTATTTTTGGGGTCTCTTTTATAATTTTTTTTTATTACAGTATCCTTGGCCAAATCATAGCTGTAGTATGTTATAGAGTGCAGCCATATATTACTTGTATGCTAGTCTTGAACATTAACCCTCGGTTTTAGTTAAAGACAAGCGAAAACTATTTGCTATACATACCAGACAAAGCAATGTATCCGTTGTGAAAATCCTTGAACTAAATACTATTACTTTGTAAATAGGTAACTTACAGCCTGGGACTCAGAGCTACAGTTGATTTATTTCACGATGATAATGATATTAAGATCATTAACGTGCTATTATTTTGTGAAAAATGATATTTTGTATTAACGATTCATTTCTTCAGATGTAATTATTCCCAAAGAAGACACTCCTTTAATCAATTGTACATTCGAGGGGTCTTCAGATTGTGCTTTACTAGAAGATGATCCTAAAGCTTACCTTGAATGGTCAAGAAAATCGAGGAATGATAACATGGGTATATCCCTTCCCAATAGAGATGCAACGTTTGCCAACTGTGAAGGTGAGTTATCATATGTACTATCAGTTCTCTAGTCAGCTGATGATATTACCTTATAAGGATTATATATTTCAATAGTGGGCCACGGTACTCTATAGTTCAAATCATTGTAATAGCACTACGATATCAATGTAACGTCACCTTTCTTACAACATTTAGATAAGAACTTCCATATGTCTATAAATTAAATTTTGTAATCAACAAAACATTTCTGTCAAACCTTTGTTCTATACAGAATTATAAAGATTTTGGACATTCTCTGTTCATAGATTGTACGTAAAGCTCAGTACATTCTTTTTGTAGGACATTTTCTGTTCATCAACACAATATACCTAACCTATAGGAAAGCCTATCCAGCTAGACTTTTGATCCCAAATATTAATGGATCTGTTGATTTGAGTTTTAAGTACTATATACTCTCTATTGGGCTCTTTATATATAGAGCATTATCTAGTCGAGAAATGGGACTTAGAGTTTACCAGAATATAGGAGGCAAACAGCTTTGGACGACAAACCTTGGTACGAATGTCATTCATTTTTCTATAATTGCGTCTATCAGTGACAGTGCAGGCCGTTATTATGTCATTAACAATGGGCCTTTCTTGGCATAACTTCGCTTTTCTGGCCAAATTATTTTAAAAATGGGCCTTAAATTTTCAATATTTTCAAAAAAAATCTGACCTGAAATGTGCCCCCTCCCCTGTTAGCTTTTGGATCCGCCAGTGATCAAAATATTTTAAATCTCGTGTTACTCTAAAGTGAAACGACCTTTTGGTCCCTTTAATTTGTTTATTTTATTGTAAATAAGATTTTGCATATTCTAAAGATTCTTTATTTTATCTCTTAAAATATTTAAATGAAACTATCGTGTCTTAACATTTGATTGCTTTCTTGAGATTTTTATATCTTTTGATTTTCATTTCTAATTTAACATCGATTCTAATATGCTATGTCTGTGTACATTGATTCAACAGCAAATACATCCAACACATGGTACCACGCAAATGTGCCTATGACAGGTTCCAAACCTTACACTATTGTAATAGAAACACTTGCAACACCATATGATCATGTAGCGATAGATGACGTCATTGTTCAAAAAAGAGGTATTCATTTTCACCATATTATTTTAATTCTACGTATAATAGCAGCTAAATGAAATGGCATAGCCTCGAATAGGATAATGAAAAAAGTGTCAAAAATATTTTGTCTGATTATTTTTGCAGAGTGTCGTTTTTATGAAGAGCGTTGTCCAGGTAGCACAATCTGTATTTCTTTCAACAAAATTTGTGACAGGGAAATTGATTGTCCTGGTGCCACTGATGAAATGGGCTGTTGTGAGTATTATCTTGTCAAATGGGGCGATGAGATGCAACCATCCGTTAGATTTTCAACGCAAAGCAGTCATTTCATTGAATGATCAAAATAATATATTTTAATCAGTATTTAGAGTAAGATTTACATCTCCAACATTTATTTGAAACCTTCTTTTCAATTTTTTGCGAAGTTCTTGATATTTCTTACCAAAATAGTATTCTACCACCTGTAAATGTCTAGTATATCAATTAAATTACATAACTTTGTTGTTTAGTCCTCTAAAATATCAGGCGGAACGTTCTAACAATTTTTCGAGTCATTTCATTATAACTTTCAATGCAACCTTACCCAATGTAATATATTAATTTCTGTAATTCACACATAATTCCCTCAAAATGTATTCGGATTTTAATTGATGTACGTTATGAAATATGACAACATTTCTATTATTATGGTGTTTATAAGTGGACGTTTTCATTAGTGTGTAGAGCAGATGAGTTTGTATGTGATAATGGACGATGTGTCTCGCCTTCTTCCGTGTGTGACTGTGTCGACGACTGCAACAATGCGGAAGATGAAGCAAACTGTGGTAAGTTGTATTCTCTTAAGTCACATAGTATTACGCTTTTGTTCATTACCTTTGCACATAACATTTGGTCCATCGTTGGGATGTCTGGAATTTATTCTGTTTTTAGTCCTTGGTATTTCCTTTCCGACATGTTTTATAAGGCTTTTTAAGGTATTCCCCTTTGTTACTTGTTCTTGCATACTCTGTTATTCAAATCATATTGATTATTTGATTCTTGATATGTCAGATCATACTGCAGTACATGTTAACTAGTTATACCAGTACTTTTGTCTTAGGGAATGACTTGCTCAGTGCAGCCACGAATTCGACAGTTCAACCAATATTCGTATGTAATTTTGAGACGTCTGACTGCAATATGACACATCCTACTCAATCACCATGGCAATGGATGGAGGCATCCAGAATTTACAAGAAAGATCATACTACAAATTTCAAGTCAGGTAATACATGTATACGAGGAGTTTACGTGATTGTCAGGAAATCGATTTTTTCTATTATTTTTTATTTATTTGCAAATTAAACATATATACAATATATCATAATACATCACAATATATCAATACACATACATAGTCTATTCAAATTTGTTGAAAAAGATCTCTAAGCTATTTTTTAGAATAAATTTTTTTCACTTTTCATCATATCTAAATTGTTTATGTAGAATTTCAGTCGGTTGATTAGTGTTTTCAAAATTTATACTTTTGTATCTGTCCATATTATTTGAGTTCTTAACCCAATTTGAATAAATTGTGTTTCCCACTATATCACTGAGAATTACATTTCTTGGCTGAGAGACATTACTTCCAACATATAGAACCCTAAAATAAAATGTTTCCATTTGATATCACATCTTAAGATATTTCTAATTTTTTCCCCAAATATTTTGTACAATCTTACAGTCCAGTAATAAATGTTTTGGAGTTTGTATCACTCTACATTCACTACAATACTTGTTAATTTCTTCATTCCATTTGTATATACTAGTATTCCCACACGCTAGAATATTATGGAAAAGCTTAAAATTGAATTCTGCATGTTTTTTATATATCATGTTTTTTATTTTTGAATCATATACTTTCCCATAGAACGTTTTACATCTTGGTGTGCTGAAAATTGTTGCCCAATGTCTTTCCATAATGCTTCTTTCATGTTTACTTTCTAGTAAAATATCATACAATCGTTTAGCATTGATGTGCTGTATATGTATCCATTTACCATCTTTCATAAGGTAATTGTTTTTTGCTTTTATATTTGTATATTTTTCTGTTTTTCAATCCAAATTTTGAGTGAGTTTATTAAATAACCTTTTATTCGTATATATCCGATCATCCAATTATGTTTCTTTATCAATTTATTCAGAATATATTGCTCATAAACAAAAACTCCATCTTTAAAAAATCCTTTATATATAAAAACCCACTTTTTATCCAGTTATGACTTTAAAAAACTTAATTTGTTTAATTTGTCAATTTTATATCTATTGAATGCACTAAAAATATCCTTATAGAATATAAGCATATTTATCTTTATTTCATGTGTAAATGTAGTTTTAATGAAATCTTTTACCTCAAATCCACATTTTTAATATAATGTACTGGAATATATTATCTTCAGAAAAGATTCGTTTTACCCAACTTCCTTTAATTGAAGCTATTTTCAATTCTAGATCTACTAACCCTTGACCCCCATTTTCAACTTTTCCTATAATTTTATTTCTTTTTAATCGATCTCTTTTCCATAAGAAATCAAAAATCATTTTATTAACTTTCTTTAAAACATAATCAGGCACATTCAGTATTAAAAATTATAAACTAGTTTTGAAATCCCTAAGCTATTAATCACTTGAACTTTTCTAAAATAGGTCAATTTTCTTTTCTCCACGATTTAAATAATTTTTCGAATTCTAAAATTTTTGGGTCCCAATTCAATTCTTCACACTTTTTAAGATCATTTCCAATATAAACTCCAAGGACTTTAATTGGTTCCTTTGTAACTTTTATATTCTTGTATAAATCTGGTTCATTGTTCTGATTTCCAAGCCATATACCATGTGTTTTATCTAAGTTTAACTTTAAGCCACTTAATTTTGAGAATTTGTTTATTTCTTCGAGAAAATATATTATTGAGTCTTTTTGTCTTAACATAATTGTTGTATCGTCCGCATGTTGTAGTATTTTAATTTCATTATTGTTTATAGTTATACCTTCTATTTTATCATTTTTTCTATGTTATTTGACATTATTTCTGTAACAGGATCTTAAGAGGTTCTGGACAAATCATTTGATTCTGGACTTGACATATTTTTTTTCCAACGAAATCACATCCAAGGGTTGAATTTTTATTGGATATTTAGAGAGCGAGTCCTGTATTGAATTCAATAAAAAGGTTAAAATAGAACGCTATTTGAGAGTTAATCTTATACTTTCAATACATTGATAAATTAAGGCAAATTCTGAAAAATTTTAAAGTGCATTTTTTATGAAATATTATCCAAGTATTTAGATGAAACGGTCTTATTTAAATACAAATCATAACATGATGATATTTTTTCATAAAATATTTCTTCAAGAAATTCAATTGAAGGCTCAAGATAAAACGAGCTAATTTAGGTGAAAACCCTTACATGATGATGTGTTTTCATGACTTCTTTCATAAAATTCCATCAAGGGGTGAAAATAAAATGATCGAATTTAAGTGATTTAAGGATCACGAGGATAGGTTTTCTTGGATATTTTCTATGAAATCCCATCCAGTGGTCAAGGTAAAATTTTTATTTGGTATATTTGGTCACGTGTTCGAACCCATAGAACCATATAGGAACGTCATTTTGAATGTTACGTGATAAATCCATATAAGGCTTTTAGAACAATGTGGGGAAAGATGAGGGGAAACCCCTGACACCTGTTCACGATTTTATCCGAACGTTCATCGGATCATTTCGGTTTTTATGCACTTCATTATTTTACCGAAGTTTGCCGATTCGATTCGTCGTATTTCGGAATATTGGGGACAACTTTATACTCCATTGGGAGTATTTTTAATCTACTTCTTATTACGAAGATTCCCGAACCTTGTTCGGATTAATCCGGATTTTCTGACCTACTTCATCTACCGAGATTTAACGAGTTTACATTCGGCTCATTTCGGAATCCTGGTGACAATTTTATACTCCATTGGAGTATTTTTGATCTACTTCTCTGGATTTTTGATCTACTTCTTATGACGAAGATTCCCGAATCAGTTCGGATTAATCCGGATTTTCTGACCTACTTTATCTACCGAGATTTAACGAGTTAACATTCGTCTCATTTCGGAATCCTGGTGACAATTTTATACTCCATTGGAGTATTTTTGATCTACTTTTTCTGGATTTTGCCCTACTTATTATAAGTTGACAGCAAGCAAATCAAAAAGTTCGCCATGAACGGGTTTCGATCGACTAACCTAGAGAGTGGAAGCTAAACACGCTAGCCATGAGGCTAACGTTCACCTGTGTGAGATGATAAAAGTATCATATATTTATACCGAGCGTCAATTTAGAATGATCTTCGCTTTTGACTCCACTTAGATACAACTCGTCAGTTGTATCCAGAATAGGTGAACGCCTATGGTGTTAGTGAATAACCAAATCCCAGGCGAGTGGTTCGTATCCCACCGTGATATGTTATTTTTGCTTTATTAATACGACAGAAAGGAGCAAGGTGTAGGTTTGAAAACAAGACGTACGTTTATTTCAATACAGTTTTAGAAACATTAACCTCTGATAAATGAAGGATTTCCACTTCTGAAGCGCGACTAGATCTAAGAAGTTCATTAATCAAGACAGTGTAAACCTTTTAGATATATGTTAGACAATGTACACGCCCCGTGTGGAATCAACTAAATGTTACATTTTGGATTTCATTGAGATCCTGTCATAGTCCTAAAATTTATTTTTCTGGAACATCATTTTTTCAACACTGATACAAATTTCCCTGACATTTCCATGACATGTCTACAGTTTCAAAATTCCCGGACTCTTTGGCCCTTTTTGACCTTATTTTAAAATTCTCTGACATTTCAGGCACTTGGAAAATTAAATCAAAACCCTGACATTTCCAGGTGTGTACGAACGCTGGAATTATTCTTAAAATATCCTTCAAACAAAAGGGGAAAATGCTATGCACAAATACTCTAATTTAGTTTGTATTGTAATGCGTTGTATTACATTGCATTGCATTGTATTGTGTATTTATTTGAGTGTCCGTTGACGGTAAAGAAGGCATTTAAAAGTTATTTGTGAAACTTAATAAACTTAATAAACAATACTTTAACAGTATTCTGTTATGGCAAAGTATATTTCATTTTTTCTCTTGTTCTCTACAATCTGCGTTGAGGACACTGAAGCATATGTCTGTATTTTGTTGGTGGGGAACAGCGTATCCTATCGTTCACGGAGCAAATTCAACTCTCGTTCACGAGTACCTTGTTTTTGGGCTCTTGTCCCAAAGATAACGATTGTATAAGGTTGCATAATCAGGATTATGAGCTTTCATGTTCTCATAGTTACATCTGTTGTAAAACGAATCTTGTCGCAACCTCTGCGAATCACGACAGCATAACATTTGAATCACGTTGACATCATCGCAAAATTAGGCTAAATATGCTAAGTCAAGACGTTAATTAGCCCACGAAAGTTCATGGGTAACTTGAGAACTACAAAATACAACCAAATACTTTTCGAACGTACAATAGCAATATTTCTCACCTAACGTCTTCATAGTTTTAGGAACGTATTTTAAACGCATGATAGCCAAATATATCAAGATACTATATCTGCCTAAATGAAGTTATCTAGTGTTTACAAAGTTTTGAAATATATTATATCCAGATCCATCAGAAATTAACTTATCCATTTACATTACTTTACTAGTTCTAGTATCTTGCATGACTCGTTCATAAGAATTCTTTAATTCTACCTCGTTCCCAATACGTCCTCAGACAGACAAGAAATTGAAGTCACATCCGTTTGTTTGCGTGGCATATTTATACGTATACGCACTTTCTCTGATTATTGTCAAACAAATACATTTCAGGAGAAGAACATAAAAAACAAATGCCTGAAACGAATGCCGAAACATAAATCCCAAGTGATTAAGTATAGAATGTTTTATTCTTTTACGATTTGATAAGAGACCGAGACTAAGAAATTAAATGCGACGAAATATTTTGACAACGTAATTTGTATACTGTTTTATTCTTAAAGTTCTATGCGATAAATTATTTTATCTGTTTCAAAATGTTTCATTTTATTTTGCCTATATAAAAGAGATTGAAGAAGATAAGATAAACTGTTCCGTAATATATATTGTGTTTTAATAACCTTTTTTTTAGAATCACAATGTAAAATAAATCTCCCGTTCCTGCCATTCTGGTAACGCCATGCAATGGATGCAATTCA